TGAACAGGGGTTGGGGAGATGGAGAGAGGTGGGGGGAGATGGACAAGCGTCAGAGGAAGAAACAGAGGGAGATGGGTCCCAGTGGGGATGACAGGACCCAGCTCAGGACGAAGGAGGAGAGATGAGCACAGAAGGGCAGAGGGGTGGACAGAGAAGAGAAGATCCCAGGCAGAGGTGAGCAGAAAGGGAGAGAGACGGGCTGAGTCGGGGAGGTGGAGAGAGGGGGAGAGAAGAGGCCGGTCAGAGAGGGGCGCACAGAGCCAGATGGAGGGGGCAGAGAGCTGGAAGAGATGGATGAGCCCTGGGGCCGGGGGGAAGCCTCGCTGAGGGGGGTGTGGAGCCAATAGTGCCCCCCGCCCTGCAGACCTCGCTGCTGCTGCTGCTGCTGCTGCTGCTCAGCCCCGGCCTCCGCGGGAGCCCCGACTGCTCCTTCAGCCACAGCCCCATCTCCTCCACCTTTGCTAAGACCATCGGCAAGCTGGTGAGGGCTGCTCCCATCCTCTCCTGCGGGCCTTTTGGAGGCCCAGCTTCCCTCGCTGGGTCTGAGTTCCCCCCATCTAGGTCTCTGTCCTCGTGGGTCCCTGTCCCCCTCTCTCCGGGTCTCCACAGTTCCCTTCCTCCTGTCTTCAGCCCCGCCTGCCCCCGTTTTCTCTGCAGTCTGACTACCTGCTTCAAGATTACCCAGTCACGGTTGCCTCCAACCTACAGGACGTGAGTGTCAGGTGGGGGGGCGGGGTGGCTGGGATGGAGGTGGGCAGGAGAGGCTGGAGGTGCACCCCGCCCCCAGGAGACCAGCCTAGCTTACCCACCTGGCCGCCTCCTGCCCTGGGAGCCAGGCGTCCCGGCCCCAAGCCCCTTTTCCTCCCAGCCCCATGCACCCAAGCCCCGAGTGCCCTCTGCCCGCGGGGCCCAGAGCTCGGGTTGTCCCTCCCCAGGACGAGCTCTGTGGGGCCCTCTGGCGCCTGGTCCTGGCCCAGCGCTGGATGAGAAGGCTCAAGACTGTGGCTGGGTCCCAGATGCAAAACCTGCTGGAGGATGTCAACACCGAGATACTCTTTGTCACCTTATGTGCCTTCCAGGTCAGCCCTGAACTTGGGGGACAAGTGAGGGGAGCCAGCTGCCTTCCTAGGGAGTGGAAGTCAAGCTCTGCGAGGTGTTACTGGAGGTTTCTTTTGACCCTAGCAACCCAAAGGAGGTGGAGCTGGAACCCCAGTCCCACTGGGGGCCCCCGTTGCTGGGGAGCAACTCTTCTCCAGGCAGCGGAGGATGGGGAAGGGGCTGGGCCCGAGGCGACAATTCTGAGTTTATTTCTCGGGTCCTGTGGCAGGGCGTTGCTAAGGGGTTCTCTCCCCTTAGCAACCGGGAGAAGGAGGGGGTCTAAATTCCCTCTGGACCCAGGCCTGATTGGGCCCTGTTGTTGGGCGTTGCTAAGGAAGCTTCTCCCTAGCAACCAGGCAGAGCAGGGGTTCCAACTCTGAGACCCAGCCTCGTGGGGTCCCGGTTGCTGGGTGTTGCTAAGGAAGCTTCCCCTTAGCAACCAGGGGGAGGAGTCCAAACTCTGAGACTCAGCCTCATGGGGTCCCTGTTGTTGGGCGTTGCTAAGGAAGCTTCTCCCTAGCAACCAGGGGGAGCAGGGGTCCAAACTCTTGAGACCCAGCCTCGCTGGGCCATGTTGTTGGGCGTTGCTGGGCAGGGAAGGCCCTTGGCCTGAGACACTGGGGGTGATGCGGTGGTGACGTCTCCCTCCCCTGCCCCCAGCCCCCCCCCAGCTGTCTTCGATTCGTCCAGACCAACATCTCCCACCTCCTGCAGGACACCTCCCAGCAGCTGTTGGCCTTGAGGCCCTGGATCACCCGCCGGAATTTCTCCCGGTGCCTGGAGCTGCAGTGTCAGCCCGGTAAAGGCTCCCAGCGCCCCCGCAGTCCCCCATCCACCCTCTCCCCTCCCACCCTCACCCCCTCCCACGGGCTGCATGACTTTGGGCATGTTCCCCCAAGTTCATTCCCCTTTCTGGGCCTCAGTTTACCCACCTCTGAGAAGGGAAAAACAGTCCCTGCCTGTTTCTCTCCGGCCACCCTCTCCGACAGAAATGAGGGCCGCCTGTTTCAGTGTGAATTTTCTAGTGGTCAAGTTAAAAAAAAAAAACTGAGTTCACTTCTTTTCAGGAATTTTCACATTTGAGTTTTTCTAGCAAGTTACTAGTTGTTTGATTTTTTTAGGGGGGAGAATTATAGATTCACAGAAAGATGCAAAGAAATGCACGGGGAGCTCCAGGCCACCCTTCACCCAGCCTCCCCGCTGTGACCTTTTGCCTGTTGACATTAATTATAGGACGCTATCAAAACCAGGAAATTGACACGTACCAATCCACAGAGTATTCAGATTTTATCAGTTCCACCTGCACGCGCGTGCGTGTGTGCATGTGTGTGTGTGTGTGTGTACGTGTTAGTGCCTGGGCTGCAGTAACAAAGTAACACAATCCAGGTGATTTAAACAACAGAAATTTATTGCCTCGCGGTTCTGGAAGCCAGAAGTCAGGAATCAAGGTGTTGGCCAAGCTGGCTCCTTCTGTGGGCGGCGAGGGAAGGACATGTCCGGGCCTCTCTCCTTGGCTCATAGGGGGCCACTTCCGTGTTCCCGTGGCTTTCTCCCTCTGCGTCCAGATTTCTCTTTTATAGACACCAGTCCTATTGGAGTCGGGGCCACCACTGATGCCCTCGTCTCTTGACGCCTCATAACTTGACACTCAAGTTAACCATTAACTTGTTTATCTCTTTAAAGACCCCGTCTCCAAAATAAGGTCACATTCCGAGGCACTGGGGGTTAGGACTTCAACATACAAATGTTGAGGGACACACCTCAACCCTTAAAAGAGTGTGTGTATGAGATTTTAGCACGTGTAGCTTCCTGTAATCACCACCACAATCAAGATACTTAACTTGACCCACTCCTTTTTTTTTTTTTTTTTTTTTGCTGAGGAAAATTGGCCCTGAGCGACCATCTGTTGCCAATTTTCCTCTGTTTTTTTTTTTAGCTTGAGGAAGATTAGCCCTGAGCTAACATCTGTGGCAGTCTTCCTCTATTTTATATATGGGACACCACCATAGCATGGCTGACAAGTGGTGCAGGTCTGCAGCCAGGATCTGAACCCACAAACCCAGGCTGCTGAAGCAGAGGGCGCCGAACTTAACCACTACACCACAGGGCTGGCCCCTTGACCTCCTCCCAACAACTCCATCCCTAACCGCTGACAACCACTAATCTGTTCTCTATAATGATATTATTGCATTTAATTGTAATCCTTTTATACTTATTTTTAGTAATTAATCATTTCAGTCACAAATTCTATTTAACCCAATATTTCCAACTAGTACCATTTCAACACATAGTCAATATTTTAAAAGACTAATTTCGTGAGTTATTTCACATTCTTTTTTTCCCTACTAAGTCTTTAAGAATCTGGTGTGTATTTTCCACTGATGACAAGTCTCAAGTCCGACCAGCCACAGGCCACATGCTCAATAGCCACGTGGGGCGAGTGGCTGCCACCTGGGAGGGCCAGCGCTGAAGTACCAAAACGAGATAACTTTATTGGAATATGAGAGACTGTGCCCTGTGGAAACTCAGCTTTTTCAGTTTATTTAGGTTTTCTTTGTGGCCAAGTATATACTCAGTTTTCTAACTGAGCAAGGTCTTAGGAAAAGAATAGATTAATTTTTTGGTGGGGTCAGAGTCGAATCTGTGGGTATATCTTCTGTCAACTTTATCATGGAATTACTGTGTCTTTCTGTCCTTGGTATATTTGTCTATAGACCTGTCAGGTTCAGAGAGGGATATTAAAAAGTCTTCCGGTCTATGGGCCGGCCCGGTGGCACAGCGGTTAAGTGAGCACGTTCCGGTTCCGGTGGCACAGCGTTAAGTGAGCTCATGGTTCGCCGGTTTGGATCCCGGGTGTGGACATGGCACCGCTTGGCAAGCCATGCTGTGGCAGGCGTCCCACATATAAAGTAGAGGGAGATGGGCATGGATGTTAGCTCAGGGCCAGTCTTCCTCAGCAAAAAGAGGAGGATTGGCAGCAGATGTTAGCTCAGGGCTAATCTTCCTCAAAAAAGAAAAAAAAAAGCCTCCCACTCTAGTGATATTTTTCTCAGTTTCTCCCTGCACTCCCAATCATTTTGCCATTTTGATTTAGCTTCATTTGTATTTACATTTATGACTCTTCATTTATTCAGCCAAGTATTATTAACTGTAAACAAATAGACAAACAGGAAAATATCTGAGTGTAAGGGGCCCCATGCAGGCAAATTAAAACAGGGTGACAGAATCATGGTCTGAGGTGGTTGGCTGGAAGGTCACTGAAACTTGGGAACAAGAACAGGCAGTGCAAAGGCCCTGAGACAGAAACCTGCCTATGTGTTTAAGGCATAGTGAGGCGGCCCCTGTGGCTGGAGTTGAGGGAGTGAAGGGGAGACTGTGGGAGATGAGGGTACAGAAGGAACAGAGGGGGCCAGATTGTATGGGGCCTTGTGGGCCATCATAGCTTCGTACATTCTATCCTTTATTGTCTTGTTATCTATCCATTTATTCATTCAAATATTTAAACTATGTTAATATTATTTAGCAAGCACTAAGTAGTAGGTTCTAGTGATAAATAAGACAGATAAGGCTCCTGTCGCCCACATGGAGCTCACAGACTGTTGGGAAGGAGATGAATAAACAAACTGATACAGAAGCTCTAGAAACATCTTTGTCCAATTATAAAATAAAATGCGACCTATGTGCCAGACACTGTTCTAAGCCCTTTCTGTATATCCCCTCATGTCATTTTCGTGACGACCTTATGAGGTAGGTGTAATGCTGACCCCCAACTGACAGACGAGGAGACTGAGGCACAGAGAGGGGAGCAGCCCTCCCGAGGTCACACAGCCGGCATCACGCGGGCTTTCTTTCCTTCCCTGGCCCTGCCCTTCTCCCCAGTCACCAGCCTCCTCTCTCCCCCCAGACTCCTCCACCCTGCTGCCCCCGAGGAGTGCCGGGGCCTTGGGGGCCACAGCCCTGCCAGCCCCTCAGGCCCCTCTGCTGCTCCTGCTGCTGCTGCTGCCCGTGGCCGTCCTGCTGCCGGCCGCCGCCTGGTGCCTGCACTGGCGAAGGAGGAGGCGGAGGCCGGCCCGCCCTGGGGAGCCGGTGAGGGGCGGCGAGCAGAGGGGGTGGGAGGGCTGAGGGGGTGGCCAGGGGCCCCCGGCCCCAGTCCCCAGGACGTGCTGCCCCTGCGGCTCTTGGAGCACTGACTTGGTGAGTCCTTCACCAAGCTGAGGACCCTGGACTCTGGGGGATGAGGGGCGGGCGCATGGGGAGTCACAGGAGAGCCGTGAGCAGGGGAGGGGCGGGTCAGCTCTGGAGGCACGAAGCCCCCCTGGGGCCGTGATCTGGGACAGCCCGGAGGAGAGAGACGGGAGGCCAGAGAGGAGGCTGGCTGAGGGTCCAGGGAGGGAGGACAAAGCCTGAGGCGGGGGGGGGGGGGGGGGGGACCAGGACCATGAGGATGGAGAGGAGGGGACAGAGATGGAGGCAGAGTCAGGGGTCAGGGGTCAGGGATCAAGAGGGACAGGGTGGGAGTCTGACGGGCTTTGGGGAGGGGGCACGGAGGACCCTGAGTCTGGCCCTCTGGGGCACCTGGGGGCAGAGGGAGATGAGGGACAGACAGGGAGCTCCGTGGGGACCTGTGGGGTCCAGGGGAGATGTTTGGGTACAAGAGTCTGCAAGCCGGGAGAGAGTGGCCTCCTGGAGCGGGCGGAGGGGATGCCTCTGCAAAGCCCTCTGGGTGTGACAAAACTCAGGCTGTTCCAGGAACTTCGGCCAGCCCGGGGCAGGCGTGCGTAGGGGTTTGAAAAATGCCACAGGAAAACGTAGGTCTCAGCCACCAGGCAGGGGAGCTGGGACTTCCTGCCCAGGGCAGCAGCCAGCCAAGAAAAGCGAGTGATGGAGGAAAGAACCGGGGAACCCGTGTGGGGGCAGGAGGCGAATGGGCCCAGAGGGAGGAAGGAGAGGCCCAGTGGGTTCACTGAGAAGCTGGTTATTCTTATAGAGAAGCCATTATTATCCTTGTTTCACCAAGGCTGAAACCAAGGCACAGAGAGGGAGAGAATTTGCCAAAAGTGACACAGCTCATGAGTGATAGAGCCAAGATTTGACTCCGGGCCCTCTAGTTCCAGCCTCTGTGCCTTTCACTCTTCTGCCTCAGTTTCCTTATTCGTACAAAAGACTCTAATAATAGTCCTTTTACCATAGAGAGGTTAGGTGAGGTGACTCATGTGAGGTGCTTAGCGAACACTGTCCAACGGAAACTGAACACAAGCCACAGGTGTGAACTCAAATTTTCTAGTAGCCAGTTTCTTTTAAGCAAAAAGAAAACAGGTTACTTTGAATATTTTATTTCATTCTGTGTATCCAAAATGTTTTCCTCGCAACATGTCACCCATATTTTTAAAAAATTACTAGTGAAAGGTTTTACATGCTTTTTTTCATACCAAGTCTTCAGAATCCAGTGTGTACTCCACACTTACATCTCGATTCAGACGCTCAATTGTTATCAGCAATACTTGATCTGTATTAAGATTTCATGAAATTTACAGTTGCAAAATCAACTTCATAAGTTGTTCGCAACATACAGAAGTTTTCCAGTAACTGGATTGAGGATCGGTTTCTAAATTTCTTTCTTTCTTCTTTTTTTTGGTGAGGAAGATTGGCACTGAGCTAACACCTGTGCCAATCTTCCTCTACTTTATGTGATTAGTTTCTAACGATTTTTCCTTCTTTTTGGCCGGAACCACTATCTTCCAGTAATTCGCCAAAATAAACGACACAAAGGGAAAGAGGAGAGGCAGCCACTGTCGGTTCTCTAGGCCTTCTAGAAAACGTGGAGTTGTTCCTTTGGCCACACATGTCGACTCTATAAGACATCAAAGGAGAGGGCCCTCTTCAAAAAAAGAATGTCCCCCCACCCCAGTGTCACTTTGGCAAAACAGGGAGAGTCGACAGTGTCAGCCAGCATGCTGTTGGCACTGTTGTAAACAAACAAGTTAAGGGCAAGATTCTCGCCAAGAGCACTGATGTCTGTATTGAGCGTAGGAAGCACTGTACGAGCCCAGAGAGCTCCTTGAAACGTGTGAAAGAAAATGATCAGAAAAAGAAGGAAGCCAAAGAGAAAGTTACTTGGGTCCAGCAGAAGTGCCAGCCTGCTCCCCGCAGGGCCCCACACTGTGAAAACTGAGCCACGGGAACTCATGCCCTGTGAGGTCAGGGCATCAGAGGTGTAAAAATAAATAAAAGACCTCTGGACTGTAAATAATAGTAATGATGATTTTTCATTTCAGCACTTGTTTCTGAACCGTAATTTTTATTACAATTTTTTTGAGGAAAGGTAATGCCTGAAGAAGTTTTCCCACTCCCAGTAACGACGCTATTAGTGTAAGTTAGATAAAATTAAAAATTCAGCTCCGCAGTGGCACTGGCCACGTTCGGAGCACTCGGTGTTCACATGTGGCTGGCACTGTGCCTGGATCCGAGAGCGCAGATCTAAAACGCTTCCCTCAGTGCAGAGAGTTCTCTTGGACAGCGAGGCCCGAACACACAGCGAGTGCTGGCTGTGAAGAGAGTTGTTTTCCGCCCTGAGTCTGTGCAGAGCTCCGAGCTCGGTGCTTTCCTCTCCCCTGTCCATGGATCCTCAAACAGCCCGGTGAGACAGACGCATCTATGATCCCATTTTACAGAGGACAACACTGAGGCCCAGAGGGAGCTGTCACCTACCGGAGGACACAGAGCCGGGACTCGGAGGAAGTCAGCTAGAGACTGGGCCCTTCCTGAGCCGCGCCGCCCCTCTCAATCTCTCTCCAGGATGGAGGCAACGCCAGCATCCGGCCCCGGCCCCGGCCCCAGCCGCCCCCCTCTGTACAAAGCCCTCCTCCCCGGGAAATTGTATATAAATCATCCTTTTCTACCAGCTCTGGCCAGGCCTGTCTGTGCATGGGACAGGGTGTGGATGGGGCCGCTGGGGTCTGAGTCTCGGTTTGGCAGTTAATGCAATGTTTCCTTCAGTACCTGTTTTCTGGGGCTTCCGGGGCTCAGGGCCAGTGCCGGGCAACGCTGGACCCAGACGAGAGTCAGAACCAGCCCAGGTCTATGGGGGAGAAGTCACGGGACCCCGAGAGCCTTAGGACAGGATGACACACGCTCTGATGGAGGTGGCGCAGGCACCGTGGGAGCCCGGAGGAGGCAGGTGACCCAGCCTGAGACACAGCGGGGCTCTCTGGAGAAAGGACTCTGGAGCCAAAGGGCAGTGGGACTGCGACAAGCCAGATTCTAGACGGCGGGGGGTGGAAGGGAGGGGATCCCAGGCACGGGGCACAACCGAAGCAAAGGCCTCGCGTCTAGAAAGTGAGAAGCTCCTTTGGGGGCCACTCAGGCACTGAAGTCGCTGCTTTCTACACCCTCGGATGGCAGAGGGATGGGGACACTGAGGCCAAGACAGGGTGTGGGGTTGGGTCAAGTCGCAGGCAGGAGGAAGAGGCACCGCAGCCAGATCTCAGCCTAGACTGAGCGCTGAAGGGCGAGCCTGGATGCCCCCTGCGGGCCACCACGTGCCCAGCAGCCTGCTGTCGCCGGAGCGGGTAACAGTCCTTCCCCACGCAAACCCACCTCGTGTGCACTGAATGAACAGCCCGGCAAAACTACGGCGGCCGAGGCGGGACAGCCCCGCCCCAGCAGAGCCGCCCCCTCCCCAGCCCACGTGACCTCCCGCCCGGCACAGCCATGGCCGCCCAGGTCCGACGGAAAGGACACCGGATTGGACAATCAGAAGAGGCCCCGCCTTCTCAGCTGCCTCTCTGCGCACGCGCAGGACACTTTGGCCAATGAAAAGACAGAGAGCTGTCCGCGCAGCCCGTGTGGCGTCATTTCCGCCGCTCCCTTTTCAGGGATAAGAAACTCTTCGGCGCGACTTCCTTCTTTCCCGGGCGGCTGCCGAAGATGGCGGAGGGGCAGGTGCGAGCTCCGCGAGGTCCGGGCGGCGTGGGGCCGGGGGGAGTCCAACCGGGGACAGCATTGGGACTTACTTCACCTTCGTTTGTGTGTCTTGATACTTTAGCTGGATAACTGAGCAAAACTGGGAGCTTTGGGGGTAAGAGGAATCTGTAAGCAGGGAATAGGCGATCCGGGGAGAGTTTTTATGCCCGAGATTGGCTGAAATGCGGCATCATTCCTCCCGAGAGGCGATGATGGGGCTTCCGGCAGGGGGAGGCTTATTTTTAAATTGGGCCTAGGTTACTTTGATTTCGGCCAGGTTTTGGCCGGATTGGTCCCATCCAGTGTCCCCAGCGGCGGGGAAGACAGACAGGCAGCCTGGGGGTGATGAAAGGCCAAGGATTGCCCAAAACGGGGGGTACTTGCACCCTGCCCAAGGCACGGATTGCTTCACCCTCACGTGGGTGTGCTAATCAGCGTTCCTTTGCAGGTCTGAGTATTTTGCATTTGTAGGGGAGCAGAATTGGCCACCCCTAAATATGTTATTTGGGCATAGGGTTATTTTTAAGAGGCCGCAGACAGGAAAAGCTGTGAGAATTGTGGAAGTTAAGTCTCTCCGGTAGAGACCTTCACGTGTATAAGAGGAATCTCCTTTGGGAAGAGAATCGCGCTGTAGGAGGAAGGGGAGAGTGACACAGTCTCTAGAAGTTTTTCAGTGGAGAACGTGTGAAGTTAAATCTACGTAACAAGTTTACCCTTGTTTATTGTGCTTTTCCTGGGAGCCTCCTGTGACTTCCCACCCCCAGCGTCTTTGTTTTTAGCTGGCGATGTTATTAATGTGGTGATTTTGGCAAGTTACTCAGTTCTCGTGGGTCTCTCCCATGTGTACAGGAGGTATTCGTGTTACTAGGCTGTAATTTTTTTTCCCGTCAATCTGTTTTATGTCGATTTTTAATTTTTAGGCCAGCCAGAAGGACTTAGAAAGGTAGAAGGAAATTTGTTTTCTGAGACAGCGTGAAACCTTATGCAACAGGTCCAGGGGGCACCTCCCTACAGGGCATTCGGGAACGAATTGCTCTTTTCCTTTGCTTTTGGGGTTGATTGATGCTTTGAAGGCCTGTTGCTGCTGGAAGCAGAGTTTGTGATAAAAGGCTCCCCCCAGGTCATGCTTTGTCCTTAAGCACCTGGAGGCCTTCGAGGAAGACAGCAGAAGCTTAGCTCTGAGTGCCCTGCCTCCTTGTGTAACTTCATGTATATATAAAGGACTTAGAATGCTCCTGGCATGTGTTCCTCCATTTATTGTGTGTCTGGCACAGTTTGCGTTCTGTTTTGTGTAAGTTGATTAATTTCACGATATTCCTGAGGCAGGTGTTGTCACTCATCTTAGAGGTGAGGAAGTTGAAGCCTGGAGAGGTGAGGGTTTGGGCCAGTCACCTCGTTAGCAAGTCTGGCTTTGGATTCTGTTTCTTTCTTCACTGTCTTCTGATAATCACAAAACGTAACAAGCATAAGAGGAGGGACTTTCGTTCCTGATGAAGTTGAGGGTTGGCGTTTGAGCAGTTCGACTTTGTGTAGCCTCACCCGCTCTGAACCTCCGTTTTCTTTGCTGAGATATTCATGCTAGAAACTGCTGTACTTTTGAGATCACGAGAGAGTTAAGTTTCTTGGGCTTCTGCTCGTATCACAGAGCATGGGTTCTTCCACCTGGAGCATCGTGGGCTGAGTGTGGCCAGTCTTGTTCAAATCCTAGCTCGTCCTGTTAGCCTCAAACCTAACCTGGGCATAAGATTTCCTGCCCTTGAAGCAGCCAAGATGTGAGGGGGCTTCTTTGAAATGTTATCCCCCTCGCTGAAATCCTGAGTCAAACACTTGCCCACCAAGGTGAACCTTGGGTGTGAGTTCCTGGGTCCTGGACCTGATAGGAAGCACCCTGGGGGACAGGCGAACTGGAAACAAGTAGAAAGCTGTTGACTGGGGTGGGATCAAAGCTGTGGGTGCCTCTGACCCCTCTCGCTGTCTCTCTTGACAGGTCCTGGTGCTGGATGGCCGGGGCCATCTCCTGGGCCGCCTGGCGGCCATCGTGGCCAAGCAGGTGCTGCTGGGTAAGTGTCCCCAGCTCCCCGGACTCGAGCTCTGGCTGGAGGTCGGTGATGAGCAACAATCACCATCTTTCGTTTGAGTCTCACGACTGTGAGATCAACCCCATGCACCGCTCTGAGACCATCCAGCACTCCCTCCCTGGGGCTGGGGGCTACAGGGCTGAAGTTTACTTTTGGGGCTGACTCGTAATTCAGCTTGAATCCAGCTCCACCGGTTACTCCTCCGTGACTTGGGGCCGGAGGCTCCCCTGTCTGGGTCTTCGGCAGTATCAGGGCAGGTGGATGGATGCACACAGAGCCCGTGGGTGGCTTCCTAACCTTTGCGTCCCTTTCCTTTTCTTCTAGGCCGGAAGGTGGTGGTCGTGCGCTGTGAGGGCATCAATATTTCTGGCAATTTCTACAGAAACAAGTGTAAGTTAGGGCATGGGAGAAGGGCCAGAGAGTGTTGGCCTGGGTGGTGCTCAGGTCTCAGGATTTGAAAGCGACCCCACAGCAGTGGGAGATGCTAGTGTGAGTTCCCAGACCGCCCTTGGGGCGTGGGTGTGGGCTGGCAGAACTTGGCATTTGCCTGGGAGCTGGGAGGCCTCACCCGCTCTCCCTTCCCCCTCCCCAGTGAAGTACCTGGCCTTCCTCCGCAAGCGCATGAACACCAACCCATCCCGCGGCCCCTACCACTTCCGAGCCCCCAGCCGCATCTTCTGGCGGACCGTGCGAGGTGAGCCGGGCCCGAGGACCGCGGGGGTGATGGGGGCTCGGCCAGTGATGAGGACTTCTCCCACTCGTGTTCGAGTTTCCCAACCATGAGATGACTCCACATGCACTACCATCTGAGGCCGCCCGGCTGCCCACCGTGGGGGACAGGGCAGGGTCCTCGCGAGCCCCACTGAGCAGGCCTGCTGTCCCTCTGCCCGCAGGCATGCTGCCCCACAAGACCAAGCGAGGCCAGGCCGCCCTGGACCGCCTCAAGGTGTTCGATGGCATCCCGCCGCCCTATGACAAGGTGAGCTCGACCACGCCCTCACGGCAGCGTGCGTGGGGCCCGGCGTCCGTGATGTTCCACAGTTACCTACATTGTTCGATCCTCGTGAGAACAGCGCTGGCTGAGACGCTGTCCCGGCCACCCTCCTTCCCTGCACACCCCTCGCTGCAGGGCTCTAAGCCCCTCTCCTTCTCTGACAGAAAAAGCGGATGGTGGTTCCTGCTGCCCTGAAGGTCGTGCGTCTGAAGCCTACACGAAAGGTGAGCGAGCTCCAGGTTGCCCTGAGAGGCCTAATGGGGGCTCCCTGGCCCACTGGGGGTGATCTTTAGGTCCCCAAGACTGGCAGATGATGGCTTTTTCTCACGATGGTCTGCGGATGCCACTGTGGGCAGTGCCGATAATGCCAATGGCTTAGCTGATGCCAGGAGGGGCAGGGAGCCCTTCTGGGGGGGGGGTCCTCAGCTTCCAGGGAAAAATTGGAACATTAAATACCTAGGGTCCCCATTTGTCAACCACTCTCCTATGGGCCCCAGCCCCAGTCCCGGCTGTCTCCTTACAGCTTCACTCCTTCCCCCCTCAGTTTGCCTACCTAGGGCGCCTGGCTCACGAGGTTGGCTGGAAGTACCAGGCGGTTACAGCCACTCTGGAGGAGAAGAGGAAGGAAAAGGCCAAAATCCATTACCGGAAGAAAAAGCAGCTCACGGTGAGGGCAGCAGCCGGGAGTGGGGGCGCCGCGCTCCAGGCCGCGCCTGGTGGGGGATCGCTCTTGATGTCATGGTCTCTGTGGGCCCCTGGAGGGCTCTGCGTAGGGTTCCGCCTGGGGTGGGGAGTGGAGTCAGGTCCCTCTCGTCAGGGTGCTCCTGGGCGGCAGTAGCCGCTGATCCTCATCTGTCCTCTTAACCCCACAGAGGCTACGGAAACAGGCTGAAAAGAACGTGGAGAAGAAAATTGACAGATACACAGAGGTCCTCAAGACCCACGGACTCCTGGTCTGAGCCCAATAAAACTGACTGTTAACTCCTCATGCTTGGCCTGGCCTGCCCTTCCTCCATCGCCGCCCGCCCTAGGATGTGGGGGACACCCCGGGGCCGCTGTCCAGGCACCACAGGCAGCCCGGGCCTTGGCAGGCTGGGAACACAGAAAGGGCCGTAGAAGCACTAACAGCTGTAAGCTGTGCGGGCGTCATGACGTACTTGTTCTTGAGAGCTCTAGGAAGGCAGCAGTTGGAACCATCAGTTCAGTTTCAGTATTTGAGCTGAAACCTTTTACGTTGTGAGTGGGGCGTCCGTTTAAACGGCCCCCGGGGTCACGGGCTATACTCTGCAGCTGTCAGAACGTGAGGGGTGCTGGGGGCACTGAGCCTGGCGCTGGGCGGAGGCGGTTGTAGATCCGCAGCTGGGAGGTACAACCAGGGAGCCGCACTGCCCTTGCACCTTCCCTGGACTTTGTGATCAGGAGCAAATAAATTACTTTTCAAGCAATTTGGCGTCTTTGCAGTGTGTGTCTGCTCTGGAGGCAGGCCCTTGGCAAGAAAAGGGAGCTTGCGTAAAACTGCCTGTGCTGCAGTCTGCACAGAGAAATGTTGCTTGATACCTGCCCTTCGTGGCAGAAGATTTGTTGAGATTTACACGCTAAAGAATTTCCTTGAAGCCAGTTATTGGTATTTCCCAAGGCTAGCACGGCCTGTGTGGCCCAGTTTATGTGGAGCTCGCTCACTTTCATGCAGCTGCAAAGTATGGAACTACCATTGTGAGCCGGTCCCCCACTGCGGGACGTGGGCTGTTGCACACTTAGGCCGCACCGGGGGGCTGTGCTTTGTGAAGACATTTTGCAGGTGGTATTTAGGCACTAAAAGTGGGATATGAACGTTACTGGCATCTTACCTGGAAGAAGACTAGGCAGCAGGTTAGGTCTGTCCCGGGGGGCCCCCGAGGCTGCTGGCATTTAGCGGGTACCCAGCCCTCTGCCGTCAGCACTGGCCACCTCCATCACAGCCTCCCCTGCTGGGCTCGGGCCCCGTATGCACATGAGGTTTCTGTGGAGCCTCCTATACGGGGTGCCGGCCCCAGGATCCAGCGCGGAGCTGTCTGGCCTGACAGGTAAGCGGGTCTGTCCTGAAGGAAGCCAGCTTGATGCCCTGGGGATTGGTGGACAAGAGTTGGAAATAGTTTTGTCATTGAGGCGTTAGGCGTTCCCACGCCTGACAGCACAGGGGGAGCTAGTGGAGCGTAATGTGCGTTTTACTGCAGCTCGCGGGCAAATTAGAGCTGGTGCACCAGGCCGTTCTGTCGTGTTGAATGTCTTGCAAATGTCCAGCAGAGCACAGTGACTCAGGTTTTCGCCAAACCATCATCAGATGGGTGTGTCCCTACCCCTCCCGGGGCTTCTGCTCCCCACGGGAGCTGCCACCAGAAGCAACTAAAGGCACAGAGAGTTTAAATCTTACAGTTGGCAAAACTGCACGTTACAGCAGCACAATATAACCCCACCAAAAGCAGGATCCGTTCAAAAGATCAATCGGGCTTTATAAAACTAAAACTTTCCACTTCAAAAGACACCACTAGTGAGGCTGGCCGGCTGGCGTAGTGGTGAAGTTCATGCGCTCCACTTTGGCAGCCCAGGGTTCGCGGGTTCAGGTCCCAGGTGTGGACCTACGCACCACTTAAGCCATGCTGTGGCAGGCGTCCCACATAAAATAGAGGAAGATGGGCACAGATGTGTGCTCAGGGCCAATCTTCCTCAGCAAAAAGGGAGGATTGGCAGTGGATGTTACCTCAGGGCTACTCTTCCTCAAAAAAATAAAAATGACCGTTAACATGAACACAAGCTTCAGGCTGGGAGAAAATATTTGCAAATCATTTTCTCTTTTGAAGGACTTGATCCTGAATGTATAAAAAGCTCTTAAGACTCAATAACAAGAAAACAAATAACCAAGTAAAAGTTAAGCAAAAAATTGAATAGACATTTCACCAAAGAAGATATATAAATGGCCAGTAGTAAGCACAGGAGAAGATGCTCACCGTCGTTTGCCGTTAGAGAATGTACATGAAATCGGGCATACCCCTCATGCTTCCTGTAGGACAAATACGGGGAGTTGGAACCTCTGGGCCAACGGCAGGAGCATTTTCAAAGCTCCAGTTCCATCTTGCCCAGCTGCCCACCAGCAAAGCCCCCTCCACAGCACGTGGGCGTGCTGCCCCGTCCATGGAAGAGAGGGCCACCAAGGAAGGTCCTGTTTTAACAGGCGTTTCAGTGCGCGCTGCGGAGGGTGAGCGTATCCAGGCCTACTAGCGTTTGCGTTTCTGTTGTGAAATGCCGGTAAATATGTCCGTGAAGTCTGGCGGCGGCGAGGAAATGTTGCCTCAAGTGGCAATAAGTAGAATGGGCTGAAGGTGATTATTGGACGACAAGGCTGTTCACAGTGCAGGTGAAAAATCCGCATGGTGAGGGGCTGGCCCCGTGGCCGAGCGGTTAAGTTTGCGCGCTCCGCTGCAGGCGGCCAAGTGTTCGAATCCTGGGCGCAGACATGGCACGGCTCATCAAACCACGCTGAGGTGGCATCCCACATGCCACAACTAAGAATATACAATTATGTACCGGCGGGCTTTGGGGAGAAAAAGGAAAAAACTAAAATCTTAAAAAAAAAAAATCAACATGGTGGGTTGTAACTAGCCTTAAAATAGGTGCCATTGAACAGAAATGGAAAAATGAGCGTATTGCAGGAAGGAAAGAAAAGAGTTAAAAAGCAAGAAGAAGGCAGGAGGGAGGAAGAGAGAGAAATAGGTTTTGGTCACAACGGAGAATGTATATCGTGAGCTGTGATGATAAATGTGAAAAACTATGGACCTAAAAGTCTCCAAATTGCCCCTTGGGGGGAGGCGCTATTTCTTTGCTTTTTCCTTATCATCAAAATCTCACCAGCTACTCGGAGCAATTTGCAAAATCTCGAGCATTTTCAAAACCAGAGAGGAACTCGCACCTAATCGGACCACCTGGGGCTGCAAACCACCCGGCAGGGTCGTGCACTTCCTTCCAGGCTTTCATCTAAGTAACTTTTGTACACAGTTTAGCACACATTGTAGACAACAACTGTGGGTCCTGCTTTTTGTTTTTTTTTTTTTTTTTTTTTAACTAATATCATAAATCCTTTCTAAGTCGTTTGAAAACTCCAGAAGTTACTTTTTTCTAGAACCTTCTATGAACCCCAGAGAGACTGCAACGACGATAATTAAAACTGAATCATTCAAAATTTACAAAGCTGTTAAGTGTAAAAGAAATTTAAACAAACTTTCCAATGGTTTTTTGTAAGTTTGTAGCATTTATGTTGCTGAAGTTCTTACAACTTAAAAGATACCATATATATACACGCAGCCTTCTCTGTTTATAACAGCACTTTCTGCATTGATAAAAATGTTCTAAGATCTTCGCTGTCCCCTCTGCAAGCCGCTAGCCAAGGGTGGGTACTGAGCACTTGAAATATAAATACAGGGACCGAGGAACTGAATTTTAAATTTTATTCTATTTAAATTTAAATAACCACAGGGAGCTATTGGCTACGTTATCGGACAATGCAGTCTATCAACATCAAAAGATATAGCTCACAATTATATTGCACAATAAGCTTTCAAAAAAGAATTCATCCCAGAGCTGGTCGATAAATATTTGTTGAATTAATGTGTCACGCTATGCCTCCTGTTCTGTCATTTCCTTTGTCCCTTGACTTTTTGTACTTTTTGAATTTTGCACCACGTGCATGACATGCTTATTCGGAAGGAATTGCCAATTTAAACAAGAGGAAATGGAACATGGCTAGCAATCTTTTCATCTCTGGATTGATCGACTAACCTCAAGTATTTTAAGCGCTTGCAGAGTATTCCACGGTCAAGCAACACCCTGACTTATCCGCCTGCCTACAGGTGGGCATTTTGGTAGATCTAATTCTCCTCCATTCCTTCATTTGGTTAGTCATCAACATGTACGATGAGCACCTGCTATGTGACAGACGCCAGAAGCCCTGGAGGACACAGCAGACAGCAATCCTTGCCCTCACTCTAGTGGGGAAGAGGCAACAAAGGATAAACAAGAATACACGAGGGGGCCAGCCCGGTGGTGTAGTGGTTAAGTTCGTGTGCTCTGCTTCAGTGGCCTGGGCTTCATGGGTTCGGATCCTGGGCACAGACCTACACACTGCTCATCAGGTCATGCTGTGGCAGCATCCCACATAGAAGAACTAGAAGGACCTACAACCAGGATATACAACAACATCCTGAGGCTTTGGGGAGGACAAAAAAGAGGAAGCTTGACAACAGATGTTTGCTCAGGGCCAATCTTCCTCACCAAAAAAACAAACAAACCAAAAACCACCAGCGAGTGGAATCCAGCTTGTCAGCAGTGCTGTGAAGGAAACTTCACACTCTTATTAATAGGGCGGGGGTCCCCAGTGTGGGGGTTGGGAGAGGTTCCACTGGAGGCTGAGAGGTGAGGCACTGGAACAACGCATTCAGCACAGAGGGAATAGCACACTAATTGAGAGGGAGCGTTGGAAACCTCGACAGCAATATGACAAGTTAATTATTTATCAGTTGAGTCTAGAAGAAATTAAAACCTGGGCTTTGTCATTTTTTTACAATTTACTTTTCCTGCTAATTCATTGCTATTGTATTTTACAAAAACACTGGTCCATGACAAGTTGCAAATTTAAAAAACTGGTCCTTCACCACAGATTGGTTGAGAAGAAACAATGTAGAGGTTTGTTGGAGCACAGATTTTATGTTCTAAACCGCAATACCTAAAAAAGTCTTCACTTGGGGCTGGCCCCGTGGCCAAGAGTGGTTAAGTTCGCACGTTCCTGTTTCAGTGGCTCACGGCTTCGCCAGTTCGGATCCTGGGCGCAGACATGGCACCGCTCATGAGACCATGCTGAGGCGGCGTCCCATGTGCCACAACTAGACGGACCCACAACTAAGAATATACAATTACGTACCGGGGGGGCTTTGTGGAGAAAAAGGAAAAATAAAAAAAAATTAAAAATTAAAAAGTCTTCACCAGAATTAATAGACAGATCAGTCTATATAAGAGACACAACACAATCTATATTATTCAATGGGACGGGGACCATCAGCCTCAAGGACTGAGGTGAGGTCCCTCTGATCGCCACATATTTATTTGCAGGCAAAGAAATACAAGCATAGCAGGGACTCACGCCAGCAGGGATATGCAAGTCAAAGCTCAGCAGTTCTAGTCTGCCTCCCTTCAACGTACACCAGCCCTACCCAAGGCCGTTCCCTTAGGGAGCATGCTAGGAGCAATAGGCAAGTTACGCAGACGGCGTTCCGTTCCTGCAAGGGCCCAGCGTTTCTAAGCCCCTTGCCTTCATGCTCGGTAAGATACTCCCTTCCGGCCTTTGATTCCAAAGCACAAACAATCTAGTACAGTAATTTATGAGAATCAGCAGATCGCATATTTCTCAGCCACCCATTTGTACTTCTTCTTGCTAAGCTTAAAGCCCAGCAAGAATGTTGCTATGATCTCCTGCCACACAGATGGCCACACAATTGTCTTAACACAAAGTTATTGAATATACTGTGTATTCCCTGTGGATTTAATTGCATCTTGCATCATATGCTAAATTCTCAAATCAAGTGGGATTTATTTGGGGGCTTCCTAGGAGGTATAGTTTAAATATTTACATGGAAGAAATCAACTTTTCTTTTTAAAAGAAAACGTATTTAAACACACCCACACAAATATAAGGTCATATACCAGGATTTATTCTTAAATGATTAATTCACAGGCTGTTTGCCAGAATAAAGACAAATTTAAGTCTTGTATATGTTGATTATCAGCTCGGTGCATCTTTGTGTGTTGAACTGGGACAGACTCGTGTAACCATGGACTCTCTAGGACCAGTTCAACCGACGCCATCAACAGAGTAATTAAGGGTGGTTTTCTCAGGAACTGAGACCCCTTCTCCAGTTCAGGCCAGTTGAGACCACCAACCCATCAAATGGGCCTGCACAAATGCCCGATAAATGACCCTTCTGATGTCAAAGGCTTGAAAACTCCACCCTCAGATCATGCTAACATCACCATTTTGTGGCCATGTCCTATGAAGAGCCATGAAGCTTGACTACGCTGCACAGATCCCATGACCTCACGTCTCCTCACCTCCAGTCACCCATCTCCGCACTTCAGATGGCCCTGGCCTTGATCCCATAAATTTTGCCCCAAGCCTGGATCGGGGATCTGAGAGTATATCTCTCCTGTCTCCTTGCAGATCGATCTTGCACATAAAGCTATTTTTGTTTTCCTGAAGGCTGATGCTTTAATAATTGGCTCTTCTCTTTTTTTTTTTTTTTTTTTTGAGGAAGATTAGTCCTGAGCTAACTACTGCCAATCCTCCTCTTTTTGCTGAGGAAGACTGGCCCTGAGCTCACATCCGTGCCCATCTTCCTCTACTTTCTATGTGGGACGCCTACCACAGCATGGCTTGCCAAGCGGTGCCATGTCCACACCCAGGATCTGAACCAGAGAACCCCAGGCTGCTGAGAAGCCGAACATGCGAACTTAACCGCTGCACCACCGGGCCGGCCTCTGGATCTTCTCTTTATGTGCACCAGGTGGCCAGCCCTTGCTCAGCAACACTAGCAAAAGCTTAAATTTGAGGTCTCTGATGAATGTGAAGCCTCAGCTAGAGGGCTGGAGAACACTCTGGGAGGTGCGGGGCGGGGTGGGAATCTTTCTGGGTTTTAGTTTTTAGTTTAATAATCCACGAGTATTTCTGTCCTTCCCTATCTGCTTTACAATTTAAGAGGCAATTTCCGAAAGGGGAAAAAAGAGCTGAGGCCTCAGATCCTCCTGGGCTCATTTGCTGACTGCCTTTGGCTAAAGGGGTGACCCTGAGAGGTGACCCCTGCTCTCTGAGCCTCAGCGTCCTCCTCCTGTCCTGTCAAATGGGATAATAGCAGTAATTCCTATGGGGTGGGAGGAGCAGCCGAACATGCATTTCTAGAGACAGAGTAACACTGAACAAGGAAACACTCAGATAAACCAGACCAAGACTAAGGGGAGAGGCACACGATTCATCTGCGCCAAGCTCGGGAGTTTGAAATCTTGCAACAAGGTCTGAATCGGTGAGAGTGTGGACAGCTGCCCGGGTTGGCCTGAGACACCAGGTTGTTGCCCCACTGCCGGTGGCCCACGACGGCAGGTACACAATAGGTGCACAAAAGTGTGGGCTGACTATAAAAAAGACACCAGGGTTCCTTCTTTAAAGGTAGGTTATCAAGAACTCTGAAGCCAGACTGCCCACCTCTGCCTCTCATTTTCTGCGAAACCTGGAGCATCTGTGCCTCAACTTCCCCATCTAGAAAACGAGAAGAATAATAGACTATTAGCACAATGCCTCTGGCCCATGGCAATTGCTTCCTAAGATTCTGCTTCCTAAGAGTTTCTTAAATAATAAATTAGTATCCAGTTATAGATCTACAGTGCCCAACCCAGTAGGCATTAGCCCGATGTGGCGATTTAAATTTAAATCTAACAAAATTAAATAAAGTTAATTCTGGTCCTCAGTCGCACAGGCCACATTTCAAGCGCCAGCGGCTACCGCAGTGGACAGCGTACATATGGCACATTTCCATCACAGCGGAAAGTTCTATTGGACAGCGCTGTTGCAGAGAGAAAATCAGCAAAAGGGCTTTTTTCCCAGTAAACTATTATCTGAGACACAGGGAACAATTTTCATTAAACTTCAAAAAGCTCAAGGGCAATGCCCGCCCCTCACAAAGATGGCGGCGTCGCCCGCCCCGCAAAAAGATGGCCGCAACCACCCCGGATACAGCCACGCGGTCCCCACACCCAACATGATCCTAGCCCCGCAGAATCATGCCCGCCTCCCTATAACTCTCGCGATAATGTAGACCGGGCTCAAGGCTGACCACGCCTTCCCGACGTGAATTAGCGCGCCAGTGCAGGGACGCCCTGACTATCGCGAGACAGCGTCCGCGGCTTCCCTCCCCTCTGCCCTTAACCATCATGGCGGCGTCGGCGCCGTCTCCGAATTGCGTGTTTGGTGAGGGCCGCCCGTCAATCAGAGTGGCGCCCAAGGCACCGCCCCAAACCCTGCTGCCCCTCCCCCTTTCGTCACTTCCTCTCTAGCCCCTGCGCAGCCGATAAGGAAACCCGGGCGCCGCGCGGCTTTCCTTTTTTTCCGGCGGCCGGGAAGATGGCGGACATTCAGGTGCGGGTTCAGGGCTGGCGCCTCCGCTTATTGTTAGCCCGGGGCGTCCTCGATCGCCCGGGGGTCCACTCGAGCAGAGGACGCGTGTCTGCGTTAATCTCGACCGGCGCCTCTTGCACCCTGGGGGCTCCGCACATGGAGGCTCATGCCTTTTAGAAGTTGTCTTGTTAAGCGTCCCGGTTTCCGGGGTGGTTTTCTGCAGGCCGTGGGCCTTGGGGTTAATCCTTTTGAGTATAAGGGTTCATCCGGGGAGCCCCTCGTTTGGGTATTAATTCTGCAGCCGTATATCTCAGCTAAGGAGCGAATCCCGGGTAGGGGTCCTGGTTTCTCGCAGCATAATTTATGCTGAGCGGTGTCCCGGGTGTTAGCGGGATGGTTCTGTCCCTATGGGTTCTCAGGGGTGACTTCTGCAGGCGGTGGGAGGTGTTTTGGAGCGTGAGCGCTGAAGTGACCCCCAGGTTCAGGGCTGAGTGTGAATGAGGAGTGGATTTGTGGTGAGAGTGTCTTAGAGGGTCATTCTGGGTCCTTGGGCCCTGGAGGAGCGTTTGGGGAGTCCGTGCTGGAGAGGAAGGATTTGGGGGTTCCTAGAAGGCTTCCAGACCTGGTGGCTGACAGCTCGCGATTTACCAGCTCACCAGCTCCCTCCTCCTCGCAGACCGAGCGCGCCTACCAGAAGCAGCCGACTATCTTTCAAAATAAGAAGAGGGTCCTGCTGGGAGAGACTGCCAAGGAGAAGCTCCCGCGATACTACAAGAACATCGGGCTGGGCTTCAAGACGCCCAAGGAGGTAGGGGGACTCTCAGAGGAAAGAGTGAGCCCCACGTGTGCCCCGGCTGAGTTGCCCTGCCCACCTCTGCGTGACTGCTCCCGGGGCTGCTGGGAATTGTAGTTCTTGTCCCTGAGGCCACGCCCCCTTTTCTTTCCAGGAACTACCTGTTGGAGGCTCACTCTTTCCTCTTCTTTTTCAGGCCATTGAGGGCACCTACATTGACAAGAAATGCCCGTTTACCGGTAATGTCTCCATCCGAGGGCGGATCCTGTCTGGTAAGTGGGCACCTCTGGGGGCCTCCTGGGTTTGGGGGGGCTGGGGACATGCGGACTCCTGGTTCCAGGGGTCACTGGCAGATGATGTCTGTCCTCACGATGGTGTGCAGATGCCTGCCACGGGCACTGCTGAGAAAGCCGCTTGGCACAGCTAATGCCAGAAACAGAGCTCTGCAGCTCCCGATTCCTGGCATGCCCTGGGCGCTCCAAGGCTCCTCCTCCTCGGGTTGGGGGGAGCGCCTGACCACAGTCTGTCCCCTCCCCGCCAGGTGTGGTGACCAAGATGAAGATGCAGAGGACCATTGTCATCCGTCGAGACTACCTCCACTACATCCGGAAGTACAACCGCTTTGAGAAGCGCCACAAGAACATGTCCGTGCACCTGTCCCCCTGCTTCAGGTGAGCACCGGGGTCCCCCAGGTGGCCCAGGCCAGCCAACCTCCGAGGCAGAGAGGAAGGGCTGGTCTGCGCTCGAGTCTGAGTGACATGGGGCCTGACCGGGGCTTGCCAGGATGCCCTGGCTGCGGGGGGAGGTAGAAAGCTCTTGGGAACGGGGGCAATGACGAGGCTGCTATAAGCAGGCCACCATCCTTGGGAACCTCGAGTTTTGTGTCAGATGGAGAGGACCTGCCCCGAGAAGTCCGGGCAGGTTAGTATCCTCTCCAGCATTGGGCTGGGCACGCGCCTTGCACATAGTTTGTGCTCAATGAATAATGGCTAGGAGGCAGATGGAACTGGACATGTGAGGCTCTCCTCTGGGGGCTCCCCTCACCCCCCCCGTGGTGACACACCGGCTGCCCGCCTCCACAGGGACGTCCAGATTGGCGACATTGTCACAGTGGGCGAGTGCCGGCCCCTAAGCAAGACCGTGCGCTTCAATGTGCTCAAGGTCACCAAGGCCGCCGGCACCAAGAAGCAGTTCCAGAAGTTCTGAGACGATGCCTGCCTGCTCCCCCAAACAAAATAAAGTTATTTTCTCAGCCACAGGCCAGGCTCGGGGTGTCTGCCCTTCTTGGGGGAGGGGACTGCCTGGGAATTGAGCAAGAGGTTGAGGTGAAGGAGGGGTTCGTTTTCATTCTCTGGGGGCACAAGGATGGGAATGGGAGCCACATTCTGCCTCTGGCTCTCATCTGCGGGTGAAGACAAAAGCCGTGTTGGGATGCTGCCCTTCTCTCTGCGTCTTCTCTTGGTGTCGAAATAAATAAGTTGTTCTACCTGTCGTCGAACTGCCCCCCCCCCCCCCCCCCCAGTCTCTGGGGAGGAAGTGAGTGAGGGCGGAGGCTCCTGGGTTCTCTAGACTGGTCTAGGCCCTTTCTGGCCTCCGTGGGGACGGGAGGAGGAAGAGCCACACTCTGGGCCTCTTGGGGGGTTGGGTGGGCTCGACAGGTCCACAGTCGCCTGGCTCTGCACTATGGGGGTTTTCGACCTGGGCCTCCTTGTCTCCCCAGACAGGGACAGGGTGGGCCAGGGAAATAACGCAGGTGCTCTCCCCTGTGAGCCCCACTGCCCCCACCTAAGTGGACATGATGCCGGGTCACAGATGAGCAGACTCATCCAGGGGGCGAGTTCTCTGCCCAAAGTCCTAGGGAACAGCTGGGCTCCAGGCCTCAGGTTCTGGAAACCTTTTGCCTGAAAAATCCAAGTAAGGAAATTGGCCTCGAGAGCAAGTCTGCCCGGGAGGCCACCCTGGAGCCCCCCTGGAACCCAGCTCGGCCAGGCGGGGTTGCGGGCTGCTCAGAAACGGGTAGGGAGGCCCTGGAAGTGGGACCCATGGGGAGTAAGGGAGGGAGGGACAGCCGGGGTGGCGGGGGGCACCTTGGGTGAGGAGAGACATGGGAGATGGGAGAGTGGGGACAGGGCCAGGCAAAGTTAGGGTAAGATAATGGACAGCCAGACAGCGACCTTGAGCCTCAGAGGAAAACGGGAGAGGTTGACAGTTAGGAGGGGGACCTTGAGTGCCAGATACAGAAATGAGAGAATCAAGGCAGACGGCTCAGCTGGACACCGAGCAGGGACCCAAACCGCAGGTAGGGACGAACCGTCAGATTTCAGAAACAGATGGACCTCGAGCATCGCTTCGTTAGAGATGACAGGCAGGAGGCGGCAGGTGTAGACTGGAGAAGTCAGAGACGACAGGGAGAGGAGGCGAGGACCTGTGGGAGCCGAGGGCAGAGACGGAGGCGCAGAGGCAGAGGGGGATGCTGGAGGCACCCCTCGGGCTTCACCCCTCCGGCCCGGCGCTGCTGGTGCCCCCAGGTCCCTGCCCCCCATGCCTGTACCAGGGACCGAGGCACAGCACTGGTACAAGGGTTGGGAGACAGGGCCGTGGGGAGAGACGAGCCGCTGCTGCCTCCACGGACGGACGCCGCCTCTGGACCGGCCCGGCGGCTCCTTTTTACCCAGGCCCAGCGAGGGCGGGGGTTCCTGCCAGAGGAAGTGGGGCCGCATCAAAGAGGGCAGGAAGGGGCAGGGACGGGTCAGGAGGGGGCGCCGCCCGGAGTTTCAGCCTGCGAGCGCGCCCCACCCCGTGCCGGAGGGCTGGAGACCCTGAGAGAGGGGGACAGAGATGGGGGAGTAAGAGATCCCGAGAGGAGGAGGGAACCGAGCCCCAGGAGGGAGGGGATGGAGATCCCAGAGGGAGGGGGCTGGAGACCCAGAGAAGGATGGAGGCTGCTCGAGCGGCCCCCCCCTGCCGCAGGTGTTTCCGTTCGGGGTGGGGACGCCGTGTTTACAACAACAACAGCCCAGCTCCCCTGTTTCCTCCCGGCGGTCACTGGGGCGTCTCCTTGGCACCCCATCGCATCAGGCTACCTGGTCTCGGGTGGGGCATGTGCCTGGCGTGTGTTGGGGGCCACCTCTGATGAGCCCAATGGGTCCAGAGACCAAGGAGAGACCTCCGGCCTGGCCCCAGTTCTCACCTGAGGAGTGGGTGACGCTGTGTCTGCCCTTCTGGGAGCCGGGTGACAGACAAGAGAGAGAATCCCGGGCCGGGGCACAGCCTCCTGTTTCCCCCTCCGCCCTCTGCCCCCTGCTCTCCCCTCCCTTCCTCTGGCTGCCTGCCCCCGCGCCCCCAGATCTGCGCCTCCCGCCTCCTGTGCCTCGGCTGGGAGGCCTATCCGCGCCTCAGTCTCCAATTCTCACCCACCTCCTGCCACTTGCACAGCCTCCGACCCTCCCAATCACTGCTCCCGGCTCCGTGTCCTGCACAGGTGTCGCCTGTTGATGGTGTGTTCGCATGTGTGTTGTGCAAATCGTGTACGACAGCATCTTTACTAGTTTCCCTGTTGACCCTGGAGCTCCAGGGGCAGAGATCCCCGCACCCCCAGCGCCTGGAACAGTTGTAAACACTCTGACCTGTTGAGCTGAGCGAATGAATTCACTTCAAGTCCAATCCCCACGTTCTCACAGGGCGGGCTTAACCCCCGGGTTCAGGGTGTGGAGGAACCAGAAGCAGTGGACGTGAGCAGAGTCCTCCCCGTGTGAGCGTGGAGACTGCTGGCTCTGTTCCGAATTCTAGTCCTGTCGCTCGACAGCTGCGTGACCTTGGACGGGGAACTCCCCCAACCACAGAGCCTCAGTTTTCTGATCTGTAAAATGGGTTCTTGCCTGCCTGCCCCACTGGGAGGATGAAACGGGCTCACGTGTGTTAATGGGATAGAACTCGTTCTAGGAAGTGATATTTCTTAGCAAAGTAAGTATCCTGGAGCCCTGAGCCTGCGGTTAGAGAAGGGCCCAGGGGTGGCTAGGGTCTAGCAGGTCCTGGGTCCCTTCAGGCAGGCCCAAGGACAAGAGGCCTTGGCAGGTGGCCCCAGAGGTATTACATGGTTGTGGAGTCCTGGGTCTATTATAGCAAGCCCTGCTGGTTTGGCATGGGATCTGGAGTCTGTCTTAGCATGCTTCTGGAATATTCTGTCGCATGCCTCTCCTAGGAGGCCCCGGTGGCATTGCCATTTTGCAAAGAACTTAGCTCCAGGCACAGTTTCATAGCAGGGTCCTGGGTTTACGATGACAGCAGGGGTCAAGCCTCTGACATGACAAAAGGCAGATCTTGGTGGGACCATAGCGTCTCATGACCCTGTGCTTGTCACAGCAGGCCCCAAGGTCTGGAGGGGAGTCCAGGGAAATGGAATCGAGTGTCTGCCGTGGGCATTCGCGCCGCCCTGAGCCCCTCATGGGCAAACCCCAGGGTCTAGCATTACAGCAGGTCCCAGCTCTAGTACATATTACAACAGACACCTGTGGAGTGTTTCAGGGGCGGCAATAGATCCTGCTAGAACGTTCTAGCAGGACACTAAGGCCATTCTCGAAGAGTTTTGGGGGCATCTCGGACCAGCCCAGGGTCATGCATTATTGTCTGCATTCATTCCACAAATATTTACTGTGCTGGCGTCTGGGGATGTGAGAGTGAGCAAGACAGATCAGGGCCCGGCGTCTGAGAGCCCACGATCCAGGGTGACCCTGGAGGGGGGCATTAAGGGGAACAGGTGTCACTCCTGTCCCCTACTGTGTGCCCCGTGCCAACCCTTTGACTCGCCGAAGCCTCTGTGCTGAGGTAGGCGCCGTTATCATCCTCCTTTTGCAGAGAAAGAAACCGAGGCTCAGAACAGCTCACCTGGAAGAAGCCGGATTGGATTCCGAATGCGGTGTGATTGCCTCCTGGGGTCAGTAGGGGGCACCACGGGGTAGGTGCCGAGGGGAGAGACGGATGTGCGGGCGACACCGGTGCAGGAGCACAGCTCAGAGCCGCCTGTGGCCATTTATAGCACACAGACCCCAGGGGCCACGGCAGCTTCCTGGGCGAGCTCCCCGCACCGTGAGAGCCGTGGTTGAGAGGGACCTACGCGTCGTTTAATGCTCTGCCTGAATGTCTTGAAATTGGAACAAGGGGCCCCAGGTTTTCATTTGGCATCGGGCCCACAGAATAGGAAGCGGTCCTGCCACAGTCTCGCCATGGCTTTACAGTGGGCCCCTGGGGACGTGAGAACAGGACCCTGGGGATAAGATAGGAGATAGTGGATGCTGTCAATGAGCCCCGAGACACAGCAGGGCCTCAGGCACCCGAAAGGGATTGCTTCCCGGTGGGCATTAAGGGACCTCGAGGGCTTTTCCTTTTGAAGCTGGAAGGAGGGACATTGGGGGAGTGTTTGGGGAGACCTCTGAGAGGCCTCTTGGCTAAACCCTGGGGCCACATGACAGGAGAGAGAAGGGGTGAGAATGGGGAGGTTCTAGCCGGGGCAAGGGAGGGTGTCCTTGGTGACCGTGGTAGGCTGGGTAATGGCCCCCCGAAGTCTTCTATGCCCTAATTCCCCCAAACCTGTAAATATGTGACCTTGTATGATAAAAGGGACCTTGCAGAGGTGATTAAACTCAGGACCTTGAGATGGGAGATGATCCTGGAACATAATCACAAGGGTCCTGAGAAAAGGGAGGGGGGAGGGTCAGAGTCAGAGAGAGAGGTAAGGGTGGACACAGGGGACAGAGAGGAGAGAAGGTGCCAGGCTGCTGGCGTTGAAGCTGGAGGACGGGGCCACGCGCTGAGGGATGCAGGCGGCGCTAGAAGCTGGAAGAGGCCAGGAAAGGGACTCGCCCCTGGAGCCTACAGAAGGAGCCAGCCCTGGGGACCATTTCGGGTGTCTGACCTCCGGAACTGTAAGATCACACATTCGTGCTGCTTTAAGCCACTGAGTTTGTGGTCACGGGTTACAGCAGCAACAGGATACTAATGCAGTGATCCAGGCCCGGTGCAGATGGCGCCGGAGCAGCATCCTGGGAGGCAGGTTTTCCCAGAGCCCCACAGGACACTTGGGTGGTTCCGGGACACAGCGGAGCAGCCTCTTGGTATGTCCTCATGCGACCCTGAAGACTTCATGGTGTGGCTAAGGGGCATTCTTTTTTTTTTTTTTTTTTAGGAAGATTAGCCCTGAGCTAACATCTGCTGCCAAACCTTCTCTTTTTTGCTGAGGAAGACTGGCCCTGAGCTAACATCCGTGCCCATCTTCCTCCACTTTATATGTGGGATGCCTACCACAGCATGGCTTGCCAAGCGGTGCCACGTCTGCACCCAGGATCCAAATTGGTGGAACCCCAGGCCGCCGAAGCAGAACGTGCGAACTTAACCACTGCACCACCAGGCCGGCCCTAACTAAGAGGCATTCTAATTGGGTCCTGGCAGGGCCCAGAGGACTTAGAGGGGACACCCCAACGCCATTTTGGTGACCCTCAAGGCCACATCAGGGAAGACTGTACCCGTTTCATTGGGGTCCAGGGGTCCTCTGAGCGCACAGTGGGGAGAGTGTTGCCAGGTCCTGGGGACGTTTTATCAGGAACTTCAAAGGACTTTTTGGCAGGACCCAGTGGGTATTAGCATAGGGTCCTGAGAGGTGTGGAAGTGACAGCGGATGAGATTATCGCCGGACCCAGGACACCCAGAAGAGATGCCCAGAGATGTCTGAGGCAGGAGCTGAAGGTCAGCTGAGCCAGATGTGAGCGTCACAGATGGACCTGGGGCCACGCATTAGGGTCCTGGGAGCATGGTGGCAGGAGCCCAAGGACTTGTCATCAGGGCTCTAGTGGCGTTACTTTAGGCACTAAAATTATTTAGTTATTTAGGCGTTATCTAGGCAATAGAGAAGACTCCTGGGGGCATTTTAACCGTCAGGGTGGGACCCAGGCTATCTAAAGCTCTCAGGGCCCCCAGGGCGAGGGAGCCTGAGGCTTGCCAAACGTGGGGCGGGGTATGGAAGGGGTGTGATGCCGAGTTCCTGGGAAACGGGTGAGGTTTCTTGCCAGAGAGGGAGGTTACAGCAGGTGCCGGAGGGTCTGTCTAATTGTTTCTATCTGCTTTTCTGCCTATCTGTTTATCTCTGTCTGTATGTCTGTCTACTGGTCCATCTTTGTGTCTGTCTGCTTTGCCTATCTACCTCTTTCTTTTTCTTTTTTTTCTCTTTGTTTTTCTTTTTTTTTAGAAGTTGTGAAAGCTTTTTTTTTTAAAGATTTTTTAAAATTTTTTTCCTTTTTCTCCCCAAAGCCCCCCAGTACATAGTTGTATATTCTTCGTTGTGGGTCCTTCTAGTTGTGGCATGTGGGACGCTGCCTCAGTGTTGCCTGATGAGTGGCGTCGTGTCTGCGCCCAGGATCCAAACTGGCGAAACCCCGGGCCGCTGAAGCGGAGCACGTGAACTTAACCGCTCGGCCACGGGGCCGGCCTCTCCCTCCTTATATTTCTATCTATCATCATCTATATACTTATCTGTCTGTCTGCCTGCCTACGTACCTGTCTATTTTTCTGTCTGTCTATCTATTTATCTGTCTATCTACCTGCCTATCTGTCTGTCTGTCTGTCTGTCTGGGTGACTACCTGTCCATCTGTGCATCTATCTGTCTGCCTGCCTCCCTACCTGTTTGTCTATTTCTTTCTTTCTTTCTTTTTCTCTTTCTTTTTTTTCTTTCTTTTTCTTTCTTTCTTTCTTTCTTTCTTTCTTTCTTTCTTTCTTTCTTTCTTTCTTTCTTTCTTTCTTTTTCTCTTTCTTTCTTTCTTTTTCTTTCTTTCTTTCTATCTATCATTTTTCTATCATCTATCTATCTGTCTATCATCTATCTATCTGTCTATCTACCTCCCTCCCTCTGTGTCTGTCTGTCTGTCTGTCTGTCTTTCGTGGGTAGGTCGGGGCCTGGTGAGGGACAATAACAGAGAGAACCCGGGAGTGGGTTTGGGGACACCGTTCAGCTTTACAGCAGAAACTGCAGGGCCACGCAGAGAAGGGTCTGGGGCTGAGGCCCTCGGGCCGTCCTGGAGCCAGGGCAGCACGGTTAGGGGAGGGCTCAGGACTGGTTTAGCTGAATTCCAGGGGTGGAGTGGCTGACTCTGTGGGACATCAGCATAGGCTCCTGAAGATATCATTACTGGGTCTCAGGACACTCTCAGAGGATCGAAGAAGCATGAGAGTGGGGCCCTGAGATTATTGGAGACCCAGGGGCAGGGTGGGGGCCTCTGGCGATGGTCCTGCAGGACTCCAGGGGCACTGGCATTAGAGCCGGTTATCACGGCAGAGTGAGGGATGCAGTGCGGCTCTGGGGGCAGTGCCCGCCTGGCGCTGGGGTCTTGAGACCATCCTAATGGGCAACAGGCCTCAGAGTGGACGACAGGGACATTATGTTAGGGCTCAGGGAGCATTTAGATGAGTTCTGGGGCATCTTAAAGTGAATTACAAGTGGGGCCCCAGGTTTTCAAGCTTCTAGGAAAAGTCTAGCAGGTCCTGGGAGGCATCGTCACAGGATGGTGGGCACTATAAATCAGGGCCCAAGGAATGCCCCAGTAGGGACCTGAGAGCCTTTAAAATAAAAGCCCAGGGGCTGCTGGAAGAGTGCCCCGGAGACATAGCCGGATCCCTAGAGACAAAGAGGGGACAGCTGGGCATGACAGATTCCTCAGGGTATTTTAGGAAAGACCAACAGGTGCTGTAACAGGATTCATGGGACGTGAAAGCAGGAGCCTTCAGATCATTCTAGGGGGACCCTTGGCTGGGCCAGTGGATATTCTAGCAGGACCCAAGGAAAGTGACGAAAGAGCACAGATTTACCACCTCTAATGGTTCATTTCATGTACCCACTTGGCTGGGCTGCAGCGTCCAGATGTTTGATCAAACATTACTCTGGATGTTTCTGTGAGGGTATTTTTGGATGAGATTTACACTGAAATCAGCGGACTCTGAGTAAAGCAGACTGCCTTCCATAACGCGGGTGGGCCGCATTCAATCAGTTGAAGGCCTGAATAGAAGAAAGAACTGACGTCCCCCAAAGGAAGAGGGAATTCTGCCACCTTTGAGTTTTATCTGCAACGTCAGCTCTTCCTGGCTCTCCAGCCTTTGGACTTGAACTGCAGCTCTTTCCTGAGGCCCCAGCCTGCCGGCCACCCTATCAGATTTTGGACTCGGCAAGCCTGTACGACCACGTGAGCTAATTCCTTGAAATAAGTCTCTTTCTATATGTGCATATACACATCCCGTTGATTCTGTTTCTCCAGAGAACCCTGACTAATGCATCATATGAGCTAGCAACCCCAAAGAAGTGGAAATAGCTATTCAAACAAACACTTGTACTGGCTGGCCCGGTGGCCCAGTGGTTAAGTTCAAGCGCTCCGCTTCAGCAGTCCAGAATTCACTGGTTCGGATCCTGGGCACAGACCTACACGCCACTCATCAAGCCGTGCCATGGCGGTGTCCCACATAGAAGAGCTAGAATGACCTACAACTAGGATATACAACTATGTGCTGGGGCTTTGGGGAAAAAGAAAAAAGGGAAAAAAAAAGAGGAAAATTGGCAACAGATGTTAGCTCAGGGCCAATCTTCCTCACCAAAAAAAAAAAAAGCATACTTAGGGGCCGGTCCCATAGCAGAGTGGTTAAGTTTGCACACTCCGCTTTGGCAGCCCAGTTCAGATCCTGGGCACGGACATGGATCCATCTGGAATCTTGCCGGTTCGGGTCCTGGGTGCAGACATGGCACCACTCATCAGGCCATGCTGAGGCGGTATCCTACATGTGGGTCCCACTAGAAGGACCCACAACTGAAAAAAAAAAAAAAAGCAACTATGTACTGGGGGGATTTGGGGAGAAAAAGCAGACTTAAAAAAAGAAAAACTTGAGCCGGCCCAGTGGCACAGTGGTCACTTCGCACGTTCTGCATCCGTGGCCCAGGGTTCACCAGTTAGGCTCCCTTGCAGACATGGCACCACTTGGCATGCCATGCTGTGGCAGGCGTCCCACATACAAAGTAGAGGAAGATGGGCATGGATGTTAGCTCAGGGCCAGTCTTCCTCAGCAAAAAGAGGAGGATTGGCAGCAGTTAACTCAAGGCTAATCTTCCTCAAAAAAACCCCCAAAAACCCAAAAGCAAACCAAAAAAACTTGTACAAAAATGTTCACAGCAGCATTATTCATCATAGCCAAAAAGTAGAAGCAACCAAAATGTCCATCCACTGATGACTGGGTAAACAAGATGTGGCAGATCTGTAAAATGGAATAGTATTCACCCATGAAAAGGAATGAAGCTGACACATGTTACAACCTGGATAAACCTTCAAAACAGTCAGCTGTGTGGAAGAAGCCAGACACAGAAAGCCACGATATTGCAGGATTCCATTTATAGGAAATGTCCAGAATAGGCAAATTTACAGAGACAAAAAGGAGATTAGTGGCTGCCAGGGGCTGGGGACGAGGAGAGGCTGCTTAATATGTATGGGGGTTTCCTCTTGGGGTGATGAAAAGTTCCAGAACCAGATAGTGGTGATGGTTGTACAACACTGAGTGCACTTCGTGTCACTTACGTTTTGTGCATTTGATGCAATAAAACGAATGGAAGGTTAGAGCAGGAGGCGGGCTGGGGGTGAGGGACGGGAGTGGGGGGTGGGGCGTGATTTCTAAGCATGAACGTCGTACATTGGGACTGCGTGTCGCTGAGGTCATATCAGAAGACGCAAAAAGCTGCAGGAGCACTTTAAGGGGACACTTCAGGGAGGAGTTGGCGGGAGGAAATACAGAGGCATCTGGAGACCTTCCACTGTAGCAGGAGCCAATGAAGGCCTGGGGGGTGCAATGGGGTAAGAAGGGAACCCGCAGAGATCTCCAGATTCGGGACCCCCAGGGGGTTGATTTCCAGCTCTGTCACGAATTCGCTGGCTGGCTGACGGCCTCAATGTCAAAAATGGGAGCCACAGAGAAAGAGACAAAAAATAAAAAGAAGAAGAAGAAAGACAAAAGTTTTCCAGAGGCGGGCAGGGGGCGAGGCCAGGCGCGGGGCCCGGGGTGTGCCCGGCAGCTGGGGGGCGGGGTTGGCTGTTCCCGAGTCGGGGAGCCATCTCCGGACAGGATGTAAGAGAGGAACTGGGGTCTCCAGTCACGGGAGTCGGCTGGGGCTGCAGGCGGGAAGGGACGTGGCTGCAGTAAGCTGAGCGGGGGGCCGGGACCCGGGGCTCCGGGGCGGCGGGAGGGGGGATCGGAGGCAGGAGGGGGCCCAGGGAGGACGGGATCGGGGGCCTGGACTGCAGGGTTCGAGGGAGGAGGGGCTGGGGCGCGAGGTTCCCGGGTCCCAGGGAGGAGAAGGGGGAGGAGTCTGGGGCCCCGAGTCCCCAGCCCGAGAGAGGAGGCGGAGGCGGAGCCGAGCTCCGAGGAAGGAATCTCAGCCCGAGCGGCTCTGTAATTAATTAACCGCCGGGGATCAAGTTAAGGGGTGAAAGTTCACCGAGGAGAAGGGCGCCGTGTTCACCCACCTGCAGCGCGCCCGCAGCCCGCACCCCGGGGCGCCCGCGTGGTGGCCGAGCCGGGGGAGGAGGGGGCGGGGCGGGGGGCCCGAGCGGTCACGCGCCCCCTCCCGCCCAGGTCTCCCTCTCAGGATGCGGGTCCCCCCTCTTCTCCTCCTGCTCTTCCTCCTGCCCGGGACCCTGCGCGCAGGTGAGTGGCCGTCGGCCCGGGTCGGGGATCGGGGAATCGGGGTTGGGGCGGGGTGGGGTGGGGTTCGACGGCAGGGAAAGAGCGAAGGCAGCGAAGTCGGGGGGCTCCCTCGAGCCGGACACCTCCTCGGTCGCCGCCTTCCCCGTGTTTGTCACTTTCTACCTCCGCCTCCCGGGTGTGCCTGGGAACCACCTGTCCCCTTCCCTCTGGGTCTGTCTGCCTGACTCTGGGTCTGTCCCCCTCACTCTGGGTCTGTCTCCCCATTTCTGGCTCTGTCCCCTTCTCCCTGGGTCTGTCTTCCTGTCTCTGGGTCTGTCGTCCCCCCGCCCTTCCTCTCTGGATCTGTCCCCTTGTCTGTGGGTCTGTCCTTCTCTGTCTGGGTCGGTCCCCCCCCCTCCCCGGGTCTGTCCCGTCTCTCTGGGGTTGAGTCTTCTCTCTCTTTCTTTCTGTCTGTCCGGCTCCCCGTCCAGCCCCCACCCCCCTCCTGCTCTCTTCACCCGTTTCTCTCCAGCAGAGAGCCGGCCGTCCCTCCTGTACCACTTCACCGCCGTGTCCTCCCCTGCCCCCGGGGCTCCCGCCTTCTGGGTGTCGGGCTGGCTGGGTCCCCAGCAGTACCTGAGCTATAACAACCTGCGAGCCCAGGCGGAGCCCTGCGGGGCTTGGGTCTGGGAAAACCAGGTGTCCTGGTATTGGGAGAAAGAGACCACAGACCTGAGGAAGAAAGAGAAGCTCTTCCTGGACGCTTTCCAGGTCTTGACGGAAGAAGGTGAGACCGGGGCTCCCGGGTCTGAGGGAGGAGGGGCCCCTGCTCCTGAGCTCCGCTCACCTGCGTGCGGGCACCCCAGGTCCCCACACCCTGCAGGGTCTGCTGGGCTGCGAGCTGAACCCCGACAACACCTCCGTGCCCGTGGCCAAGTTCGCCCTGGACGGCGAGGACTTCATGGAGTTCGACCTCAAGCTGGGCGCCTGGAATGGGGACTGGCCTGAGGCCCTGGCCATCGGTCAGAGGTGGGCACGGCAGGCTGACGCGGTCAACAATGAGAAGACCTTTCTGCTCTACTCCTGTCCCCACAGGCTGCTGGGGCATCTGGAGAGGGGCCGTGGGAACCTCGAGTGGAAGGGTGAGCTGCCTCCCGATTCCCTGCTCGCCACGCTGTCTGCCTCCCCACGGCCCGCCTGCACCCCTCCCCCCACTGCCACTCATCCCCCACACGGCCCCATAGGCTCTTTCCATACCCAGAGCTGAACCTGTCCCCCACCCCCTGCTCACAAGGCTCCATGGCTCCCGGCACCCTTGCCTCAATGTCCTCATCAGACCCGTCCAGCTTTATTTGTCTCCACCATTATCACACCTGCAAGTAATTAACTACGGTTCCCTAACATCCTCAGGGGCCGGGTTCGCGATGACATTTCCCTGATCGTCTTATCTGTTTTTTCAAACTTTGAATCAGGAGCCATGTGAGGGTCGCTCCTTTCAATGAGTCCATCCATCTCTTCAGTGTCTTTTTAAATTTTTATTGTTGAGTTTTAAGACTTCTGTGTATATTTGGGGTCCCAGTCCGTCATCAGATTTGTTTTGCAACTATTTCTTCCCAGTCGGGGGCTCGTCTTTTCCTTCTCTTCACAGTGTTTTTCTCAGAGCAGCAGTTTTTGATTTTAGTAAACTCCCACTCACCACCTTTTCTTCTGCGGATCGTGTTTCCGAAATCATCCCCAAACCCGAGGACGCCAAGATCTTCTCCTATGATAGCTTCTCGGAGTTTTATAGTCTGGCGTTTTAGGTTTAGGTCCATGATCCATTTTGAGTTAATTTCTGTGATCTTAATTTTTGTGATCGTCAGTGTCTTTTAATCTGTCGGTCTATCTCTCTGGTTTTTTTTTTTTCTTTGCAATTCTGCTTTGAAGAAAGTGAGTCGTTTGTGCTCCTGAATCCCTGAGATGTTGCTGAACATGGTCCTCTATCTGTTCTCCTGTAAACTGGTCGCCCCCGATGTAGAGGCTTGATCACGTTCCGGTTCGATTTTTCTGGCAAGGAAACTTTCCGGGGGGTTTGGCGTGCGTGTCCGTGTGCACCCGGCCTGTGTGTCTGGTCATCTCTGGGCTGTTCTGGTGGACCTCTGGGTCCAGGCATATAGTTGTGAAGTTCTCTGTCAGGTTTTCTCCTCGTGGTAGCAGCCATCCGTGGTCCTCGCCTTGATCCCTTGTTTCATTGGAAGGTACAAAGCGATGGCGTGTTAATCTGTCGGGGCTGCCGTAACAAACAGCACAGAAATAACAGAAATTAATTTTCTCACCATTCTGAGGCCGGAAGTCTGAGATTGAGGCAATGGCAGGATTGGTTTCTCCTCGGCTTGTAGACGGCTGCCTTCTGCTTCCCGTGTCCTCACATGACCTTCCCTCTGCACGTCGGTGTCCTGATCTCCTCTTTTTTATAAGGGCACCAGTCCTGCTGGATCAGGGCCCACCCTAATGACCTCATTTAACTTCACTCCCTCTTTGAAGGCCTTATTTCCAAAGACAGTCCCATTCTAAGGTGCTGGGGGGTCAAGGCCTCAACATAGGAATTTTGGGGGAACACGATCCAGCCCATAAAAGACGATAATTCGACTTCTTTCATACCTTCTTCATTCATTTATCTGGAATTCTGAAAAGTGGTCATCAGCTATCAGCCTTCAAGGGGAATTTTTATTTTAAGTTCTGTTTTATTTTAAGTATTATTCTGAACTCATGGATCTTCTGTATTTTAACCCATTTCAGATCTTATTCCTTTTGAAACTCACGCTGAACCATCTTAAACTATTGAGAGGGGCTTCACATTGGCTCCTGAGTCCTTTCACGTGACTCTGGTCCTTTTTCCTAGCTGCTTTGCAGTGTAGAAAGAAAGACCTTCCAGCTCGTCTCTTCTTGCCCCGCCCGATCCTGGAATGAGCCGTTTCTCCACGGAGCCCTGGTTCCCTGAGTGGGAAATGGTATTTCGAGACCGCAGTCTAGTTGCCGGCAGTGTTCATTGCTGCTGGGTTGACGATTGTGGGCCTTTACAGGTGACAGAGCTGGAAAGCAGACATTTAATTTTATTTTTAACTTTTTGTTTCAAAATAACTATAGATTCAAATTTTATTATTTTTGCTTTGAAATTTTTTATTTTATTTTTTTTATCGAGATATAATTGACATATAACGTTGTGTAAGTTTCAGGCGTACAGCCTGTCGCTTTGATACATGTGTATACTGCTACATAATTACTGTGTTAGCTGTAGCTAACACCTCCATCACAGTCACAGAATTATCATTTCTTTTTTGTGGTGAGAACATTTAAGATCTGGTCTGTTAGCAATGTCGAAGCATGTAATCCAGGATTGTTGGCTATAATCACCGTGCTGCGCCTTAGATCTGCAGGGCTCATTCATCTTCGGGTTGCATCCCATGTGCATTGTAGCATTATTTACAATAGCCAAGATCTGAAAACCACCTGAGTGTCTGTCAGCGGATGAATGGATAGAGAAAATGTGGCATATAAACACAGTGGAATATTGTTCAGCCATGAAAAAGAGGGAAATCCCACCATTTGCCGCAACGTGGGTGCACCTTGAGGACATTATGCTCGGTGAGATGAGCCAGACAGAGAAAGACAAATACCATATGATCTCCCTTATATGTGGAATCTAAAAAAACCCAAACTCACAAAAACAGAGTGAAATGGTGGTTACTAGGGGCTGGGGGCAGGGATGGGGAAATTGGGGAGATGTTGTTACAGGCTACAAACTTGCAACTAGAAGCTGAATAAGTTTTTGTTACTTTTAATTGCAGTAAAATACACACAACATAGAATTTACCATTGGAACCATTATGAAGTGTATAATTCAGTGGCCTTAAGTACATTCACGTCGTTGTGCGACCATCACCACCGTCCATTGCCAGAACTCTTTTCATCTTGCAAAGCTAAAGCTCGGTCCCCTCTCAACACTAACACCCCGTCCTCCCTTCCCTCTAGCCCTTGGCAACAGCCTTCCCCTTTCTGTCTCTGAATTTGACAGCTCTGGGGACCTCGCGTTAGCGGAATCGTACGGCGTTCGTCCTTTTGTGGCTTCATATAATGTCCTCAAGCTGCATCCATGTTGTAACATGTGTCCAAATTTCCTTCCTTTTTAAGGCTGAACAATACCCCATTGTGTACATACACCACATTTTGCTTATCCATCATCTGCTCAGGGCCACTTGGGTGGCGTCCAGCTTTTTGCCTGTTGTGAAAAATGCTGCTACAAACACGGGTGTAAAAATATCTCTTCAACCCCTGCTTTCAGTTCCTCTGGGTCTGTACCTAGACGTGGAGTGGCCCGACCGTATGGAATTCTATTTTTGCTTTTTTGAGGAACTGCCCTACGGTTTTCTACAGTGGCTGCACTATTTTAAATTTCCACCAGCAGTGCACAAGCGTTCCAATTTCTCCACATCCTCGCCTCAAAGTTTATTTTGTAAAGGGAAGATATATCATGAGTTCATGCTGATATTGACAGGTCACATTTAAATTTTGGTGGGGTCTTACTTAAAACTTCTTTGATTTTGTGTTTGTATTTCTTTTGGTTTACTCTGAAAATTTTGTTTCCTAATGACATTAACATAATTCCTTACTTGCTCCAAGCTATTATGTGTGTGTGTATTACCAACAATCTGATTGATTACTGAAAACAATTAAAAATTTCTTTTTTTTCTTTTTTTGCTGCGGAAGATTAGCCCAGAGCTAACATCTGCCACCAATCCTCCTCTTTTTTTGCTGAGGAAGACTGGCCCTGAGCTAACATCTGTGCCAGTCTTCCTCTACTTTATATGTGGGTCACCACCACAGCATGGCTGATGAGTAGTGTAGGTCAGGATCCAAACCTGCAGACCTGGGTTGCCAAAGCGGAACATGCTGAACTTAACCGCTGTGCCATGGGGCCGGCCCTAAAAATTTCTTGGTTGTTTATTTGGTGCTTAGGTTGTAACCGTAAAGGGATATAGAGTCAATTTAATGTGTTTTAACATTATTTGAATTAATTCCTGTCTCTGTGTGAAAGCATCAGCTTGAGGTTCATTTCTTTCATGTTCCTTTTCATCTTTAGATATTGCTTTTCTTTTTTCATTTGTTTTCACACTTTTAACAATTTTCCAAAACAATTACAGGGTTCCAGAGACGAATCTATGCCATCAGGTGCATTCACAGACGTCTTGCTCCTGTCCCTGTCCCCTCCACCCTTTCTCTTCTCTCCCCCGTGATAATAATTTTTTAGTTTTTGACTCACCCTTCCTTTTTTTTTTTTTTTGAAAGATTCGCCCTGAGCTAACATCGGTTGCCAATCTTCCTTTATTTCCCCTCCCCAAAGCCCTGGTGAGTGATTGTATATTCTAGTTGTAGGTTCTTCTAGTTCTTCCATGGCGGCCGCCGCCACAGCACAGCTACTGATGGACAGGTGGTGCGGTACCACAACCAGGACACGATCCTGGGCCGCCGAAGCGGAGTGCGCCGAACTTTAACCACTAGGCCATCAGGGCTGGCTGTCATTCTTCCATTTTTTAAAAATATAAGCACATGGACTATATATCCAGAGAGGTCTTTCTACACCCACATCTGACTCCACGCTCCCCTAGCTGGGACAGGGCCCCAGCCCCTCAGCCTGGTGATCACAGTCTTTCATCGTCTGGGGATGACCGACCTTTCTGCCTGACTTATATGCTCTGACTGCTCCTCCTGCCCCGAGGCCCCTCCCCCCCAGGCCGGTGGCCATTTCTGGAACACAGCAGGCTTTCTTGCGGTTGTCTGGAATGCCCTCCTTCGCCCTTCTCCTTCTGGCCGCCTCAGAGGCCTCCCCTCCTCTTCAGGCGCCCTCCCCAGCTCCTACCCCATCCTCCAACCCTGGAGCATCATCACCCCGGCCTCCTCCTGGCCTCTGGTGTCTCCGCTCCATCCATTCCCTGACACCACTCAACTCTGAGGGGGCCTTTGTACCCCCAGAGCTGATGCCGGCCCTCTCCCACACACGGCCCTCCCTCGGCTCCCAGAGCCCCCAGGACACGGTTCAACCCCCAGCCTGGCTCGAGGCCCCGTGTGGCGTGGCCTCTGACCCTCTCCTCAGCCTCCCGTTTCTCCCCCTGCTCCACTCAGCCGGGGCCCCTTGCGCTCACACCAACCCTCCCATTTCCTCCCCCTCACTGTTCTCCTCCCAGTTCCACTGGGGTCCCAGCCAGGGAGATTCCTCTGGCCCTGTGGCCTTTCCTTGCTTCTTTGGGCTCCTGCCGGTGCCCGCCACACTCGTGTGACCTCCCTTACTGCCCGTGTCCCTCTGAGCTGTAATTACGCGCATGTCTGGGGAATTCTCCGGGGCTGGAATTAGGGCTCTTTTGTCCTCAGCGGCCACCCCATTGCAATCCCAGCCTCCATCTCGCCCGTCAATAGAGACCGTCCTCTATCTGGCCGTCAGAGGAATGTTTTCAAACATTAATGAGCTCCCATCCTGCCACTGCTTGGAATCCTCCAACACCTTCCTCTGGTCTTAGACTAAAATCCAAACTCTGCTCCGTGGCCTGTAAGCCCTGTACGGTCCTGCTGCCCTCCGCCACTGTAATTTCACAGCGCCCCAGGGACAGTGGCCTTCTTCATTCCCTCCAACACGGTAGGTTCTTGCCTTCCTCAGGGCGTTTGCACCTGCCCTTCCCTCTGCTTGTGATTCTCTTCCTTGGGATCCTGCCATGACTGGGTCCTTCTCATGCTTCACTTGTGATCTTGGATATCAGCTCTTCAGCTGGGCCCTCCCTGAGCACCCTGGCTCAAGTGTGTCACCATCCCACTCTCGTTATTGTCTCTCACGCCACTGTCTTGTCCATTCATCCATTACAGCATCTTTAATTTTTTTTCTTTCTTTTTTGGTGAGGAAGATTGGCCCTGAACTAACATCTATGCCCATCTTCCTCTATTTTGTCTGTGGGATGCCGCCACAGCATGGCTTAACGAGCAGTGCTAAGTCTGCGCCTGGGATCCAAACCTGTGAACCCCAAGCTGCCGAAGCAGAGCGCACGAACTTAACCTTATGCTACTGGGCTGGCCCCTTGTCTTTTTTTCTTATTGGAGTTCTTAATATATTCTAGATATGAGTCTTGTGGATATATCAGATGTTTCTATTGGAAATACCTTCTCCCATTCCACACCTTGTCTTTTCACTCCCTTAGTGAAAACTTTTGATGAACGAAAGTTCTTAATTTTAATGAAGATCCACTTATCAGTCTTTTATTCCACAGCTCTTTGGTGTGTTCTCTTTAAGAAAGCTCTCCTCTCGTAAAGGTGTGCTGTTGTGTCTTCTTCCGGAAGCTCCGCTGACAAATGGCTTTCACACATGGCTGTGCGATGCATCTCGAGTTAGTTGTGTGTAATGGTGTGAGGTCGGGGGTCACGGTTCATTTGTCCCTCCTGTGGAGATCCAGTTGGCCGAGCATCATTTGTGACAAGACCACCATCTGCTCTCCTCTCTCTCCCCTGCTGAGGTGGAGTGGAACCTTAGTCTTAAACTGGGTGTGGATCCACGTCCAGACTCTCTCTTCTAGTCCACTGATCTGTTGCACTCAACTTGCACCAACACCTCACCCTCTTGATTAATGTACCTTTATAGGAAGTTGCGATATCTCGTACCTACTGTCTAGTATCTCCCTTAACTAGTATCGAGTTAAGTTCCCCAGCTTTATACCCTTGGTTTTGCTAGATCATTTGCATTTCTATATGCACTTCTACCAAAAGAAAATCCTGTTGGAATTTTGATTGTGGTTGAATTGTGTCTATAGATCAATGAGGGGAGAACTGACATCTTAACAATATTGTCTCCTAATCTGTGAAAACGGTATATCCCTTTACTCATTTAGACGTCCTTTAACTTCTCTCAGTGATATTTTGTAGTTTTTAGTGTAGAGGGCTCACACCTCTTTGGTTAGGTTTATTCCTAAGTATTAGACATTTTTTCGGTACTTCCATAAATGGTAATTCCTAAAAATTTCATTTTCTAATTGTTTGTAACTAGTTTATAGAAATACTATTGATTTTTATATATTTCCTTGTATCCAGAAATTTTGCTGAATTCAGTTATATCTCTTAATTTTGTGTAGATTCTTTTGGATCATGTCATCTTTGACATGTTTCATTTATTTTTTTTCTCGAATTTTAATAACTTTTATTTCTTTTTCTCATCTTATTGCACTGGCTAGGATCTCCAGGACAGTGTTGGATAGGGTGGTGATAATGAACATCTTGTATTCAAATTCACAGAGAAAGAATTCAACATTTTACCGTTAAGTATGATGTTAGTTATAGGTTTTTTCTTGATGCCCGTTGCCAAATTGAGGAAGTCCTCTTCAGCTCCTAGTTTGCTAAGAGTTTTTTTGTTTTGTTTTTTGAATGGTGCTGAATTTTGTCAAGTGAGCATTTTGCTTTTTCCCTCCTTTTCTAATGGGGCGAATTACATTAACTGATTTCCAAATGTTAAACCAACCTTGCATTCCCAGGACAAACTTCACTTGATCATAATCATTTATATTGTCCTTTATATAAGTTGTGTGATTCTATCTGCTAATATTTTGTTTAGGGATTTTGAGTTTATGTTCGTGAGATATATTGGTCTTAAATTCCTTTTCTTGTTATGTCCTTGTGAGGTTTAGTTATTAAGGTTACGCTAGTTTCATAAAATGTGTTGGGAGTGTTTTCCTCTTTTTCTATTCCCTGGAAGAATTTGCGTAAGAGTACCATCAGTTCTTCCTTAGTTGTTTTGAAGAATTCACCAATGATGTCTTCTGGACCTGGAATTTTATTTGTTGAAAAGTTTTAAATTATGGACTAAAAATTTTAAATAGTTGTAGGACTATTCAAGTTTTTAATTTCTTCTTGTGTCAGTTTTGGAACGTTGTATTTCTCAGGAATTTGTCCAGTTCATTTAAACTTTCAAATGCATTGGCATGAAATTTTTCATAATACCTCTTACTTTTTTTTTTGAGGGAGATTGGCCCTAAGCTAACATCCACCACCAATCCTCCTCTTTTTGCTGAGGAAGACTGGCCCTGAGCTAACATCTGTGCCCATCTTCCTCTACTTTATATGTGGGACGCCAGCCACAGCATGGCTTGATAAGTGGTGCATAGGTCCATGCCCAGGATCTGAACCCATGAACCCCACGCCACTAAAGCAGAGTGTGCAAATGTAACCACTGTGCCACCAGGCCAGCCCCTCCTCTTACTTTCTTTTTAATGACTGTAGACTCTGTCTTATATCCCCTCATCGAAACACTTTCATGATATGTTTCCCTTTCATTTATCTGTACAAATGTTTTTCTCTCCCCCCTCATTAGAACATAAGCTCCATGGTGCCAGGGACTTCTGTCTGTCTTGTCCACTGCTGTGTCCCCAGTGCCTAGAAGAGTGTCTGGCACATGAGAGATACCCAGTATGTTCTGTTGTAGGAAGGAATGGATGAGAGATGGCGGCCCTCACGGTGGATAGGTTGAGTCTCTGTCCCCCTGGGAAGCTCCTTTCCTCTTTACCACTGTATTCTCCAGGCTCAGCACAGTGCAGGGCACAGGGTAGGGGCCTGCTGGGCATGGTGGAAGGAATCCAGCCCTGCACTGGGCCTGGCCCTGGGGGTTCGTGGGCTTGGGGCTTAGGCCTGTCTGCCTGTTTCTCTGCAGAGCCGCCCTCCATGCGCCTGAAGGCCCGACCGGGCAGCCCCGGCTTTTCTGTGCTCACGTGCAGTGCCTTCTCCTTCTACCCGCCGGAGCTGCAGCTGCGATTTCTACGGAACGGGCTGGCAGCTGGCTCTGGCGAGGGCGACCTTGGCCCCAACGGCGACGGCTCCTTCTATGCTTGGTCGTCGCTGACAGTCAAAAGCGGCGACGAATACCACTACCGCTGCTGGGTGCAGCACGCGGGGCTGGCACAGCCCCTCACTGTGGAGCTGGGTGAGGGCCCACTGGGTGACGATACTCCCTATTTCTGGCTGCCTTTTGTCCCCTCTGCTGCAGCCATCCTTCCTGAGTCTGACCACCTTCCACCCCACTGCTGCCAGCCCTCCTTGAGTCTGACTGCGTCATCGTGAGCTGCTATTGCCAGTTCTCCCAAAGCTGACAGTCTTCTGTCCTATGCTGCTTGTCCTCCCCAAGTCTGACTGCCTTCCGTCTTGCTGCTGCTGGTCTTCATGGAGTCTGACCATTCGTTGTCTGCTGCTGCCGGTCCTCCATTGGTCTGACATTCTGCTGCTCTGTGCCCTGTGCCTGCCCTTCCTCTCCAAGTTGGAACAACGCCCACCCTGCTGCCACAGGTCCCTTGGCCGGTGTGACTGACACTCTTGCTATGGCTGGTTCTTACCTCCAACCTGGGAGCATCCCGCCCAGACCCAGAACATCAGCTGACCAGCCTTTCCTCTGTCCATACCTACTTCCCAAAACTTGGTGCTGGGATCTCTGAGGTTGGGAGGGACTGAGAACCCCTGGTCCCCTGTCCTGACTCAGATGGGGTAGAGGGTCCATTCAACATCTCCCGTTCTCCGGCTGCAGAATCACCAGCCAAGTCCCCGATGCAAGTGGTTGGAATCGTCGTCGGCGTCTTACTGCTCTTGGTGCTAGCTGCAGGAGGAGCGCTGCTGTGGTGGAGGATGAGGAAGGGGCTGCCAGGTGTGGGGCAGGAAGAGGAGGGAGCCTCAGAGAGAGGGGCAGAGACCCCAAAAGGGAGGGGGACGGACACAGTCCTGGGGGGGCGGGACACACAGATCTAGAGAGTGAGAGAGCCCCAGGGAGAAGTGGGGACAGAGAACTGGAGGGGTGAAACAGATTCAGAGGGGGTCAGAAACCCAGAGAGTAAGACAGAATGAGGGAGAGAAAGACACACACACACACACACACACACAGACACGTGGGGGAGGGGCAGTCAGAGACCCAGAAGAGCTCGGAGATTCTGATGACCTCCCTTCCTTCCTCTTTCCTCAGCCCCTTGGATCTCTCTCCGTGGAGACGATATAGGGGCCCTCCTGCCTGCTCCTGGCCTGCCCAAGGATGCTGACTCTTAGGATCTAAAATGCATTCCCAGCAACTTCTTGACCCCCTCCCCCAGCCTGGCTGCCACCAGCTAATGTAGTCAGGTTCCTTTCATGCTGTGAGACCTCCTGGAATCCTGGTATTTCTGAGCCTCCAGAAGGAGTCCTGAGCCCGACGTCCTCCCTCTGGATTCCTACTCCTGTGGTCTGCCTCAGTTTCCTCTCCTGATATGTATGGCTCTCTTCCACCTCCATGTATAACATGAATTTGGGCCCGAATCATTGTGTTCTCATCATTTCAACTTTTTAGGCAGGGGAGGCAAGAGAATGGGTGGGGGGAACAAATGGTGTAAGCCCGGGGCTTCAAGTCTCTCCTGAGGCTAACATGTTGCATGGTGGAATCTCCAATTTTCTGTACGAACTCATGTATTTTTCATTCATTAAATTTCACAAATATTTACTGAATGCCTACACTGTGCCAGGCATCTTGAGGAATTCTTGGCTGGAGTCTGACCCTGAATCCCTCTTGATGGAGCAGAAGAGAAGAACTGTTCCCTCTTTGAGGGAAGGGGGTGCTTCCTCTGGCCCCTTGGTTCCCCTCTTTCTTAAACCGTCCCCACAAAGAGAAAGAGAGAAAAATACAACTCCCATGAGGCTTTGGAGCTAGAACAACTGGAGGTAGTCGAGGAGGGCGCCCCGACGCTTGCCGGGAGTTGTAGTTCTCCCGGGCCGCGTCGCGCCGGCGTCGACCACCCCGGCTGCCCGGGGGAGGGGCGGGGCCGAGCCGCGCGGGCCGCGCTTTCCTTTGTGGACGTGGCGAGGGGCGCCCGCAGCCCGCCGGGCCGTCACAGGCCCCGCCCCGTGGGGCCCTCCTGAGAGCTCATTGGTCGGGGGGCGGGACCTTGACGCTGCCGGGGGCGTGGCCTGACTGGAGAGCTGCCAAATTGGGCATCTTTTCGGACAACGCAGAGGGGAGCGTGGGGCGCGAAGTGGAGCTGGATAGATAACAGGGTAAAGGGAGGCGGGGGCAGGTGGCCTACCCAGGGAGGGGACTGTTCGGGTCACTCGGGTCGAGGATTAGGGTCCAGGCTGGAAGCGACGCCCGGGAGCCTGCCTGATTCCTCTCTGGCCGCGACCCCGCCCTGCACTCTGCGGGGGAAGCGCGCCACGTCTCCCGCTGGACTCCCCCCGCTTGCGGCTCTGGGACCCCTCTGGGACTCCCTCCGAAGATTCGGTCCCCACAGCTGGTTTTATTTCTGAAAACCCCGCCCCCCTTTTCTCCCATCCCGGGCCCTTCTTGAGCCCAAAACTTCGCAGCCAGCTACCATCTCTCTATCCCGTTCTGGGTCCCCCTCTCCCTCCCTCCCCATCCTCTTGCCCCGTCTCAGTCTTTTTTCCTGTGATCCCTGACTCCTAGCTTCCGCCACTCCCCAGGGACTAATGATGTGGCGCCCATCACTTCTGCTGCTGCTGTTGCTGCTCAGGCGCGGAGCCCAGGGGAAGCCGTCCCCTGACGCCGGCCCTCATGGCCAGGGGAGGGTGCACCAGGCGGCCCCCCTGAGCGAGGCCCCTCACGACGACGCCCATGGGAACTTCCAGTACGACCATGAGGCTTTCCTGGGACGAGAAGTGGCCAAGGAATTCGACCAACTCAGCCCAGAGGAAAGCCGAACCCGTCTGGGGTAGGCGAGAGATGGGGGCTGGGGAGTATTCAACGTTGTAATTTTAAACAAGGAGGTCGGGGGACGCCTCAGTGAGAAGGTGATATTTGAGCCATGTGAGTATATGGGGGAATAGCGTTCCAGGCAGAGGGAAATGTAAGTGCAAAGGCCCTGAGGCAGGAGTGGGCCGGGTGTGTTTGAGGAACACTGAGGCCCATGTGGCCGGAACCCAGTGAGTGAAGGGAGTGGGTGGGAGGTGATGGCAGAGAGAGGACAAACCTTGTGCAGGGTCTTTGGAGGCATAGTGAAGATTTAAGCTTTACTCTGAGTGAGACGAGAGCCGAGGGAGGGCTCTGAGCAGGGGGATGACGACGTGAGCTGACTTAGGTTTTAACAACATCCTTCTGGTTGCCATGTGGGGAATAGACTATAGGGAGCAAGAAGCAGGGATCCCAGTGAAGAAGCAACTGCAATAGTCCAGGTGGGACACCAGAGACGATGGTGGCTCGATGAGGGTGGAGAGAGCGGTAGTGGCCGGGGCAGCTGGCTGGGAGATAGTGCATGGATGGGGTTGGGTGAAGGAGGGCTGGGGAAAGATGATAGGCTGCCACATTTGGCACTTACTGCAATGCCAGACACTGTTCCAAGTGCTTTCATCTAGTCCCCACAACCACGCTGTGGGGTAGGTCCTATTATTTATCCCCATTTTACAGAGGGGGAAACTGAGGCACAGAGGGGTTGAGTGACTTGCCCACGGCCACACAGCCAGCAAGAGGAGGCTGCAGGATTTGAACCTAGACTACCTGGCTGTGGAACCCACGTTCTTAACCACAGCTCGAACCTCAGGGTAGACTCAGGGTAGAGTGTCAGTGCTGGGGACAGCGCCGGCCTCCGACCGATCAGAACAGGGACAGCCTGGCGCGGGAGGGGCGGCGTCCTGCGCAGGGGCGTCTTGGATTCGGCCCCGGGGACTTAGGGACGGTGACAGGGAGGAGGGCTCCATGTGGGCTCTGTTAGCGGCTGGGCGAAGGCACAGACCAGAGGCGGGGCGCGGCCAGGGGAGGGGGGAGGGGCCTGGGAGCCTACAGGCGTGGCCCGAGGGGAATGGGCGAGGTGGGGGCCTAGGGGGGCTTGACCTGTGATGCAGGGGAGCCAAGATCAGGCTGGAGCACGGACAGGAGGCCGAGCCCGCGGAGTTGAGGGCCCTGATCCCAGGGCCATGCCTGGGAACGGCAGCGGGAGGGGAGGGGAGAGGGGAGGGGCGTAGCATGGGGCGGGGCTGGAGGGAGAGGGGCCTGTAATTGACGCGCGCGGCCAGGGAGGGGACGCAGCAGGGGCCGGGGTTAGAAGGGAGAGGGGCGCCCCTCAGAACCAGGGGACAGGGGCCGGGCCTGAGACGGCGAGAAGTCGGGGGCGCGTGTGGCCGTGGCAGTCGGAGTTCATAGGGAGTCTGGGGACAGGGACCCTGCGGGCGAGGGGCGCGGCAGGGCTTCCAACTCGGTCGAGCCAGAGGAGGAGCACGTGCGGGGTCGAGGGGCGGGGCCAGAGTGGGGGGTGTGGTCCTGGATTGTAGGTCCTTGGATTGCAGCCACAGGCCCGCTGCGTCTGGGAAAGGGCCTGGGAGCCTGGATTGAGGGGGCGGAGCCTGGGTTGAGGGGGGCTGAGCCTGGTCGAGGGGTGGAGCCTCGTCGAGGGGCGGAGCCTGCGGTGGGCGCGGTCCCGAGATTGACAGGCGCCTCTCCCTGGTGCGCCGGCGGCTCGTGGACGGCATTTTCAGCCCTATATGGGGGTGTCTCGAGTGGGGGCGTGGCTCTGCCTGAGGGGCGGAGCCCGGGCGGGGGCGGGACGCCAGGGTGGGCGGGGCCTGAGGCTGACTGTGCCCCGCCCCGGCTCGCAGGCGCATCGTGGACCGCATGGACCGCGCGGGGGACGGGGACGGCTGGGTGTCGCTGGCCGAGCTCCGCGCGTGGATCGCGCACACGCAGCAGCGGCACATACGGGACTCGGTGAGCGCGGCCTGGGACACGTACGACACGGACCGCGACGGCCGTGTGGGTTGGGAGGAGCTGCGCAACGCCACCTATGGCCACTACGCGCCCGGTACGCGGGGAGAACCCCGACCCCTGCTCCCCACACACACCGTGACCCCGACCTTTTTGACAGCCTCATCCTGAGAATGTTTAGCCTGTTAACCAGAATCCCTGACCTTTGACTTCCGACCCTTGACCAGGGTCTGCCCACTTCTTGGACCCCATCACCCTGAAACCCCCAATCCCTGATCTCTCGCTTCTCATTCTGGCCTCCACGACCTCTATAACTCTGTGACTGGGGGACTTCAGATCCCTGACTTCTACTTCCTATGCCCTGTCATCCTGACCCTTGACCTCTGACCTCTCATCCTGAGAACTCCAAAGCCATTTACCCTGACTCTCTGGGTTCCTTCCTCTCCGTCCCCACACCCCGGCCCTGGGCCCTCCACTGTTCTTGTTCTCTCCCTCCTGGACCTTCACTGCAGCCTCCCCGTCCAGCCTGTCCCTCATATGTCCCCAGAAGGATCTTTCCACACGAGAGGTGACCCTACCCTCCTCTGCTCCCCCCCCCCATGGCTCCCCAGGGCCCTCAGGAGACAGTCCCAGCTCTTCAGCTCAGCCTGGCCCAAACCCTGGCTTTGTTTTCCTGCCTTTTCTGCTCCAGCCAAGTGGATCTTCTGCAGTTTCCCTGAACTCACCACACTCTTCAAACCTCCGTATTCAGCACATACTGTTCCCTCTGTTGAAAATGCCCTTCCCCTCCTCTCTGTCCAGCAGCCTGTGTCAGGATAACCTATTGTACCAGAGGGTGACTTTGGGGTCCAACGGGCCAAGGTCAACTCACAGTGCATCCTTCCTGGCTGCATGACCTGGGGCCACTTATCTCCTCGCTCTGGGAGTAAGCTTTCTCCTTCACACAGTGAGAATAAACTCAAGAACTCACTTGACTTGCTTTTTGTGAGAATTAAATGCAATCTTGTCGGTAAAGAGCTTGGCATAGAATAAGGTAGCTAATAAATGCAAATAATGAACGTACACTAATTATTATTAATTTGGTAGAGGTCTCCCTCCCTCCCTGCCCTGAGGTAGAGCCGGTTGTCTTGTTCCTCAACCGGCCTGGCGTGCCCTCCATGAAAGCTCATCTGACCGGGACCCCTCCCGCCCCAGGTGAAGAATTTCACGACGTGGAGGACGCGGAGACCTACAAGAAGATGCTGGCCCGCGATGAGCGGCGGTTCCGGGTGGCAGACCAGGACGGGGACTCCATGGCCACTCGGGAGGAGCTGACAGCCTTCTTGCACCCTGAGGAGTTCCCCCACATGCGAGACATCGTGATTGCTGTGAGTGGGGGCCTGGGGAACCCACTCCCTGCTTCCCACCTCCCTCCTGGGACCCAGGCTTCTGATGCCAGGCCTGGCCTCCCCTCGCTTACGTTGTGGGATCCAGTCACCTGGTCCTCAGCGTCTTCCCCAGGGAACCCAGGCCACAAACGGAGGTCAGTGGAGGGTGACATCTATGTCCACCCCCCTCCCCGCCGTGTCTAATCTCTCCTGGGCCAGCCTCTCCCTTCCTGTGCTCACATTTGGGA